CTTTAGACAATAGTTTTTTTATCTTTAATTACATTATTTGAAAAACTGTTGCTAAAATCCTTGAGGATAGGCAACAATTTTTGAAAGACTTGTTACAATAGTTTTTGAAATGTTACTTATTATATAAAATAGGCAATATTTAAAAATTATTTCAAAATAGTTAAACAACCAAACATTAATATTTTCTTCCCTATCTAAGATCTGAACCTTGAACCTCTTGATTAAAAAAAAAAACTTCTAACCACTCCTCTAAGTTAACTTATTAATATTATAATGCAAAATATTTTTATATATATATATATATAAAATATTGTTAAATTAATTTTTTTAATTTATCCAAATAAAAAATTTTAAAATTAAGAAAATAAATAAATAAAAGTATATATAAAAATTATTCAAATAAATCACAAAAAAAATTTTATGTGTAGAAAAATAACAAGCAACAATATTTAAATGTTGCCAGAAAGAAAATTTATAGACAATGCTTATATTTTTGTTGCCTCTTAAAATGAGGAATAATTTTGAAATGTTTTCATTAAAAAACTTTTATAGGCAACATTTTTTTTGTTGCCTATTTAAGAATTTTATTTCAACACTTGAAAATTATTGCTTATTTTACTTTAAAGAACATTTTTTAAATGTTGTCAAAAATATATTGTTTAAGGTAAGGAATCAATAGCAACATACGAAAAATATTACTTATGATTATATTAGACAACACTTTTAAAATTATTATAAATAAAATTATTGTCTAAAACAAAAACTGTTGTAGTGACACTCCTGTATATGGGTTAGAAAAAGGAATCCCACTTGCTTCTGCTTCATCTCTCTCCAGCCCACTGGAGTAACTATGGCCAGTTGCTTAGTGAGATATTTGGATGGATCTGCTAAAAAAGTTAAATGATCAATATTCCTACACAGCCACTAGCTAAAGCCTAAGCCCTAAGGTAGAATCACTTTCAACCCTAAAACAGATCCCAGCTGAACTTCACACTTGTGAACAAGTTTAATTTATTTTCTAATGTTTTATTTTCACCTGTAGGGTACCGGTTCTTTCTGCTTATTTCATGAAAAAATTCAGAGGTGCCAATAGCTTCCATGTTCTGAAGTACATGATCTCTACTCTGTCGTCCTTTATCTTCACCAGCCATTCTTCATCCGTTGCCCTCCTTCCCTCTACGTAGTATTAATCAAGAGGAAGAGTAGGATCGCGCCGTGTATTACAATTTTTAAATTTTTAATAAATACGTATACCGTTATTTAAGCAGCATGGCATATATATGCTTTTATATATATGCAATGCATGGGGCCTGCCTATTTGGTTTTCTCTAACTATCTCGTCCCTTGAGGTGAGCATCATTGTGATTTCGAACGCGATTCAAAAGCTGGGTAAATTAATTAAATCTCAGTTTAAATCATGCTGGATATCTTCAAACTGCTCATCATTCAAAGCATGATAGTAAGAGAATGGTTCTGTTTGATTTTATAGCCTCGTAATAATCAGATGACTTGACTTCCTGCTATATCACTTAATTATCTCACGGGTGTGTGTATGTATATATATTTTCACATTAAACTCTTCACTGCCGTCATTAACTGCACAGAAAGGAGCCACACAAACTAACGTGAGATCGGAATAGGGTTTGGTAATTAATCTGTTGATGAGTAGAAAAAAGACAGGGCTTTGAAAATTTCAAACCCTAGTCCCAGAAAAGGGAAATATCATCGTACCAATAGTGATATGCTATATAATTGACGCAATGATGTCGAGACGATCCGTACTAGATAGTGTATAGAAAATTAAAGCGAACTGTCCTTATAGTTCGCGCTGGTCTGTGTTTTTGTGAAGATAGAAAGCCATCACTTAATTGCAATTAAAATCATCAAGATATGTATGTCCGTGTTCGCTATATCATCCCACAAATGTTGTACCAATTGCTTCATAAATGCAAGAAACAAAAGGGTTCAAAATTACACTGATGAACTCGCCGCTTCCAAACAAGATTTATATCAAACAAGAAAGCCACTTTCACACCGGAAAGAGAAGAGGAGATCGGGGTATGAATCACACAAGGCAATTAACAAAATATGCATACCATGCTTAGATTCCTTCAATTCTGCAGAACAAACTAAAAATTGGTTCAAACTACAAGTTACAACAATATTAAGTAAAGCTGCTGCTTAATTAATACAGATGGAATATACTTAACCCAATAAGCCAAAAATGAACTGGATCGGACCGACACGCTTGATTCCCCTAGAGTAGTTGAGTTGTTGGATCTTCTTGGCAGAAGCTAGCTAGACCCAATATTCCCTTGCGAGTGATTGATTTCGTAGATATGGAAGTAGGGTTTTCTCACAACCCACCTTATCTTTTTTGTCTTCTTCCTCTTCTTCTGGAGCTTGTGCTTGTGAAGAATGGTGAAGAAGGTGATGATGATGGACGATGATGATGTTGATGATATAGAAAGAGATAGGAGGCTTGTTGGGGTAATGATGATGGCCATGAAAGAAGGAAGAGAAGGAAGACATGATGATTGAGAAACACACACACTAATTGATGCTTGCCTCTACCTCTACCTCTATCTCGAGGGACCAAGTGTTAAAAGATATTACAGGATCCCTCATGGAGTAATTATCAGCCACGACTGCTTCTTGCACTACACACTTGAACATCCAATCAAATTAGTGCATGTGGCATCGCTTAATTATCACACTCATAATTGACAGTGTATGGCTGGCATATGGCTTCACTGCAAAAAGTGCAGAATCATTCTGCAAGACTTGACAATTATGGATATAATCAGGCTTGAAGCTATTTAAAATATGGTGGATCAATTTGGTAATATATAATAACAGTGAAAAGACTGTTTGTGACTGTATGCGATTAAAATATTGCTTAAGCTTTATGGGGTTTAGTTAAAGATGAAAATTGGCATATATATATATATGTGTGTGTGTGTGCATATATAAAATTAGAAAGGCGTCAAGGGAACTGAGAACAATGACAGAGTTTGAAAGAATAGAATATAAGTAATAATATAAGGGTGATGAGACAGACAGGGATCAGAGAAAGAGAAGATATGTGTAGTTCTGACAGCAATGAATGTCTACCTGCAAAAAGCATCCCGGTAATTAGAAATGGAGACTGACATGCTAGTTCCTGTTGATATAAATGTTGTTTCCGGCATAATGAATTAGTCTGAAACTGCTTCCAAACCATTAGCAGATAATAATTCATTGTTTACATGGACAGAGGAAAAAGATTCCCATGTTAGCATGTTCTGAAATCTGAACAAAGATGTCAGTATTCTAACATCCGGTCCGGTGAGTACTTCTTGACACTTGCACTACTCAACAATATTTCCGATAATGAACAGCACTATCACATCTTTACTTGATTCTTTTTGTTTTTATATTTGCCTTTTCTCCCTTCCCTTTTAACATATTTCTCGCACGCCTTCTGGGTCACTTTATCTTACAACTCATAAGTTCCCCCTCTGAATAATTGCATCGTGCAGATGACTCTATCCTGTCTATCTGTCTTTCTCGAGTTCGTCCTTCACGAGAAAATTGAATTGAATCAGTATAATATCATTGAGGGCATCTAGGTGTCTACTCATTCTTTGGTTTCAGCGTGTGTGTGTGTGTATCCTATTATTGGAGAGATCGTTGGGACTCCATGAAATCTTACATGGGTTCTTTGTTGATTTGAGTTCTCTGATCATTGTGGAGAAAATGACTCTTCTAAACCTTTGGCTTGCTTGCATGCGGCTTTATTTTGACCCTAACAAAGTCCCTCATGATGAGTCAGCTTTTTCTCCCTATTGGTGTATGTGGGGGTAGTGTGGAAAGTCGAAATAGTTTTGATATAAATGTAGAAACTCCAGGATGAAAGTGGGTTTTTTTAAACTGTACAGATTCAATTCTTTTTGGCATAAAAACAAAGTTTAAAACCCATTTTGATTGTTATTTGGTCTTCATGTGGACTCTGGATTTGCAACAATCATCAAGTATACATATAAAAGTTGATACCTTTGAACTTTATTTAAAGGTGCCATCCCATCGGCATCTTCTCTTTAATTTTCTTCCAATTAAATTACAACGATCAAGGTCAAATTCAGATCCTTCATGTTATATTACACCTATGATGACTATATTATTCACGGCAGTTTTCAATTCATTTCATTGCATCAGGTGACCGGTTCTGATTCATAACTTTTTTAAAAACAAAGTCGCAGTTATATAGTATATACAGTATTGATGACGAGTACGAACAGGTTAAAAGAAAAAGGTGGAGGAGAACTGGCCAAAGAAGAAGAAGAAAGCACAATATATCGGGGGACCATAATAGCCCTTATCAGCCGCGAGTTGTAACTTAAAATGGCCATAGTTTAGACTTTTTGGGCGCAAGAGCCATTATTCTGCCTTTAAAGGGGTACGGTTGACCAAAATAATAAAGAAAAAAAAGGTGGCACGGAAGTGTGCAAGATTCTTAATTTTTTTACCGAATTTTTTTATATTTAAAAATTGAATTTGAAGAATGCAACACAAACATAATTCTAAGACAAAAGTTAATTTTAATTCTCTAACTTTATATAAAATTTTAATTTAATTTTTTAATTTTATAAAGTATCTTTTTAATTTAAATTTTAACATTCTTAATTTCAAATGATTATTTTTTATATTAATCATTATTATTTTTTTAAAAATAAATTCAATATATTAATATTTGAGAATATCTGTCAATATTTAAAAGTTTAATGTAAAAATTTATTAAGTAAAAAAATATTTTATAAATTTAATAAATTAAATGAAATAATATGTAAAGTTAAATAATTCAAGTTCCATTTTATTTTTAATTAAAAATTTGAATACAATAATTTTTTTTTATACTAATACAATAAAAATTGAATTCGGACTCTGGGCTAAATTTTGATTGGACCTGATATATGAGCTTTGGGCCTATGCAAGAATACGGCAACTACGATACGCGCAGCTCAAATTCAGTCGCAAAACTTTCGTGCTCGGCGGTGTACTCAGTGTGAGCCGTGAGGGAGGGTCGAAGACGGACGAGAAAGGAAAAGCGCGCGCAGCGAGATGCTGCTAAGTCGCAGCACGGTGGTTAGCTTGGAGGTTTGTGGGTGGACTTTCTTCAAACACCTCCGGACACGCAATCCAAATAATAGAATCAGCACCAAATCCATATGTTCTACAGTCTTCAATTCTCTTTCTCACTTTGCAGCCCTATCTTCCTGCCAGAAAGACCAGATTCATCTCTACGTTGATGTTCTTCTTGAATGGAACAAGGTTTTCTCTCCCGTAAACGCCCTTTTTTCTCCAGTACGCTGTTTCATGCCTCCAAGCTCACGGGTGTGTATTTTATTTTGTTTTGGTTTAATGGTAGCGGATGAATCTTACTGCAATTAAAGAGGTAGATGAAGTAATGGAACGGCATGTTGAGGATTCCCTTGCAATTTTACCGCCTTTGAGAGATTGCTATCGGTCACACTGCGGCACTTCCTATGATAAGCTCAAAATGGTAGATGTTGGAACTGGGGCGGGCATTCCTGGAATAATTTTAGCCGTAGCTTGCCCAGGTGGATTCTTAAGTAAACTGTATTAGTGAGTTTGTGTTGCTCGGATACCCTTGTTATTCCTCTTTACCTTCTCACTGAAATGCTGCTTTGCATAGAATGGGATGTAACGCTGTTGGAGTCTATGAACAAGCGATGCGTTTTCTTAGAGCGTGCTGTCGGTGTTGCTGGTTTGTCAAATGTTCAAATTGTCAGAGGAAGAGCAGAGGTAAAATGCAGTAACAAGCACGCAAAAAATTTATTTCTCTTTCTACATCTCATCAGACTGCATGCTTTCAAATTTTGAGATAATAATCTAGAACATTTTTCTTAAACTGAACACTGAAAAATCATCTTATTCTTGTTATTTTTGCCCATAACTATAATTTTCTGCTGCTTGAACATACGCCTTGGACTGTGCACAGAACAGAATTTGGGACAGAATCTCTGCTTGAGAGAACAATTTGACATAGCAGTAGCAAGGGCTGTTGCAGAGATGAGAATATTGGGTAATATTATTATTTAGGACTTATCATATGGTATTTGGATGCTTCAAGACTTGTGATATTTCACTGCTACGATTCCTGATCCTTGTTATTGGATTTTCAGCCGAGTATTGTCTTCCATTGGTTCGTGTCGGTGGATTGTTTATAGCTGCCAAAGGTTATCATCCTGAGGTTTGTGACTTCTATAGCATATTTTTGTAGTTCTTGATCATTATCATCTGCATACTAGATGTTTAAAATTTGATGTAGAAATTGTTTATAGCTACCAGAGGTTATCATCCTGAGGCTTATTTGAAACTGTTTTTGTTTTCTTATTCTGAGAATTGGCATTTTGTAAAGCATGTTCTAATGAAAAAAAAAATGAAAACAGGTATTTTTCGTATTATTCCTTGTTTTTCAAAATAATAATCCCATGACACCTAAAAGATGTTTATGTTTTTCTATTCTCTAGAATAATATTTGATTTTTCTTTTCCAAAACACTTTCTAAATCCACTTATCAAATTGATTTTTTTTTTTTTTGGAGAACAAAAAGTTGTTTTCAAAATAGGTTGCCAAACAAGCCCTTTATTCCTCAGGCTTGTTCTTTGCTAGGGCATGTGGCTAAACTATTATTGCTGTTGCAAATTTTATTTGATTGCCATTAGTGTTGAGAATTTGGGAATTAGACTTGAATCTATGCCCTTTGTCATTAGCTTGTGCCCACTCCAAGCTACCGGCTGTATGACAAGTGAATTAGCTAGAAGGAGCATTGGGAATGTTGTAAGCATCGAACAAGGATTTTCTCAATTTGGGAGCTGAGAGTTTAGGAGGGAATGCCATGGCAAGTCATGTCATAGCCTCGTTTGGGAGTTTAATGATCGAAGGGGGGGAGTTGTTAATAGTACAGAATGACTTAAATATTTTTTCTAAATTATCTTTATAATTAGAATGCAAATTTACGAAGCTTTTATCTAATGAGGATATAAGTGTAATTATATCATTTGTCTATTTCATCGTAACATTCACTGCCCAATCTGGAGGCCATCTCTTTCCATTTCATTATTGGAAACATGTTCCAAACACTGGTCCCACCCGCTTTGGCTATTCCATCGAATCTTTGTTACAGGTTCTTTTAAAGGTAAGGGTCCAAATTAGGTAAGGCGCAATAGGAATTTCATGGGCTAATATCTTGATTTCTTGTGATTCTCTCTAACAATAGGAGAACGAGAATGAGTGAGGTTGATGTTTGGAGTTAAATGGAAAATTTGTGCTAGCATATAGATGTTAGCATTTAAGGGAATTGAGGAGCATGCAAATTCAGAATATATATGCAACGTTTTAGTATATAATATTATGTGAAATGTTTTTGATACATATCTCGCAGATCTGAAGACGCCATCTATTAATATCTTATACGGTGAATTTAAATAGGAGGAAGTTAGAAAAGCCGAAGGTGCAATCCAAAAGATGGGTGCATCTCTATTGCAAATCTGCTCAGGTACCCTCTTTAATTCATCAAATTTCTGTCCCCTGATATAAACTTCGTAGTGTTTTGCTCAAGCCCCAAATTTTAGATGATTGTTTTAGTTGGAATTGGCATTTATATCAAGGCTCCTGCCAGAAAGTATGGGTTTTATAGACATAATTTTCCCTTCGGTATGGTGGAGATTTAACTTTTAAAGTGCATGTGAAGATCTCAGCTCTGAACATCAATAACATTGGTGTTATGTTCTGTTCAGTGGAATCGCAGAGCCCACATGGTCAGCGAACTGCTGTCATTTGTCTAAAAGATCGTCCCACCCCAAAGAAATATCCCCGGGATCCCGGCATGCCAGCGAAAGAGCCACTGTAACTAATTGAGATGTGTCATTGTCTTTATTGCTTTTACTTTGCTTGAGCCTACTTTAACCAAATAGTGGCAGTCATATCTGCAACAAGTGCAATCTGATAGCAAGATTTTCCGCTCCTGTGAAGCAAATTTGTATCTATTTTTATGAAGTGAATTTACTCGTATCTATTCCCTGACCAAAAAAGAAAGGGAAAAAACTGGTATTTATTGTCCAGTGCTTCTGCCTACTGCTTCGCCAGGAATGTAGACTAGGTTCTACAAAATGCATTATGGTTTTATATAAGATTAATGATAACGATAAAGACTAGGATACGAGCCATCCGCACCTCACCTCAACCTCTTTTTAAGGAGGGTGGTGTTAACTTGTGTGTAATGATTGTAGCTTTGAACAACAGTAGGGATTAAAAGAATATGAGGCAAATGTGAACCCTGACTTATTGTTGGAGACTTCAATCCTTATCTCTCTTGTGATGACAAATGTGGTAGAAGCAGGTATAATTGGAGGTTTGTGAAATGCTTTAGACCTGGCTTATTGCTGGAGACTTCACTTATCTCTCTTGTGATGATAAACATGGTAGAAGCAAGTATAATTGGAGGTCTGAAACGCCTTGGACAATACATTAACTCCTCCAATTTTTTGGAACTCAATTTTGTTGGTGATAGATTCACTTGGAAGAAAGGTAATATTAAGGAAAGGCTTAACTGGTCTTTTTGTAATGCTGAATGAAGACTCAAATTCAATCAAGCTAACACCTTTCACCTCCTTAAACATGACTCTGATCACCGTCCAATAAAAATCCAACTTGAGAATACTGATATTTCCAAAGTACAAGAAAAACCTTTTAAATGCCATGCTGTATGGATGGTTGAAGAATCCTTTCAATTTATTGTTAAAGATTTTTAGATTAATAAAGATTGGAAAGATGGGGTCCTAAAGTTTGCTACTTCTACCACTCAATGGAACAAAAATAATATAGGCAGTATTGCAGCAAATAAAAAAAGGATTCTATGTAGATTTGAAGGAATTAATTGCAACAGGAACATTAAAGACAGTTGCTTTCTTAGAAAACTTGAAAAATTTTTATGGGAGGATTATTATAAAATTCTTTTTTAGGAGGAACTTTTTTGGTTTCAAAAATTTAGATGTAAATGATTGAATTGGGGAGATAGGAATTCCAAATTTTTTCATACTACTGCCATCATTCGGAGGAAAAGAAATCAGATTTTAACTCTTCAGGATGAGAATGGTATATGGATTAATAATTAATCCACACTCAAAATTCAGGCTGCTTTTTACTTTGAAGACATGTTTAGAGAGGATACTCAACTCAAGCCTAGGCTATCTATTAATAGAAGTTTTCCTGCTCTAAACTCCAATCAATTATAGTTACTTAATAAAGATGTTACTTAAAAAGAAATAAAAAATGTTGCCTTTAATATTGGTGCCTTTAATGCTCTCGGGTTTGATGGGATAAACGCTAGCTGTATTCAATACTATTGGAGTGACCTTAAAGATGGTATCATTTAACTTGTTAAGAAGGTCTTCTCCAATCCCACTGCTATTAGCGAAAACAATGACACTTTCATTACTCTTATCCTTGAAAAGAAAACCCTACTTGCATGAAGGATTTTCGCCTGATATCTCTTTGTAACGTTAGTTACAAAATTATTACCAAGCTTCTCTCCAACAGGTTATGGCAATGTATGAATCATTTGATTGGAGGCAATTAATGTAGCTTCTTGCAAGGAAGATAGAGTAGTAAATAATATCATCTTCGCCTAAGAGATCGTTCACTCTGAGAAATAAGGGGGGAAAGAAGGGCTTCATGGCACTTAAAATTGACCTTGAAAAGGCTTTTGATGGACTCTTTTAGGATTTTATTGACGATACTATTAGTATTATCAGAATTAATGATAATTTTGAAAAACTCATCATGGTAGCTATCTCTACCACTCACATGAAAGTTTTATGGAATGGTGAATCAACAAATGAATTCACACCAACTCGTGGCATTAGACAAGGAGACCTTCTTTCACCATATCTCTTTGTTCTTTGTATTGAACGATTCAGTCATAGCATACTTAGTAGCATTGATAAAAAAGATTGAAAGCCTATTAGCCTAACAACTAATGGTCCTCTCATCTATTTTTTGTTGATGACTTATTTCTTTTTGCAGAATCTTCTCTCAGTCAAGCTAGGATCATCCAACAATGTCTTTTTAACTTCTGTAATGCTTTTGAGCAGAAAGTTAACAACACCAAATCCAAACTTTTTTACTTTAAAAATGTTAATATCAATAGTCATTCAGATTAGCGATGAATTAGGAATTCCACTAACAGGGAACGTTGGAAAATATTTGGGGATTCCTATTATCCATGAAAGAGTTTTTAAGCTTACCTTTGCTCCATTAATCGATAAAATTAATTCTCGACTCTCTAATTGGAAAATTCATTATCTCAACGCTGTTGGCAAAGCTGTTCTTATAAAATTTGTTTCACCCTCTATTTCTAGCTAGACTATGTAAACCATGCCCTTACTAGATAATGTCTTGAATGATATGGAAGCCCACTCTCACAATTTCCTCTAGGATTCTGCTGATAGTACTAAAAAGCCTCATCTCTTATCTTGGGATTATATCACTAAGGATAGCAAGCATGGAGGCCTCAGCTTTAAAAAGCTTAAAAGTCAAAATAAGGCTTATATTATGAAATTTTGTTGGGGTATCATTACGAAACTTAATTGTCTTTGGATTCGTGTTTTTTGTGATAAATATAAATGTAATAACCTTATCATTCCTATAATTTGTAAAACTAACTCTTGCTCTTACACATGGTCAAGCATATGTAAAGTTTGGGACTAATTTATTACTCATGTGGGTTGAAAGGTAGGAAAAAGGGATCAAATATTATTTTGGTATGACAAATAGTGCCTCCTTCTTGAACCTCTTGTGAAGTACACATCTTCACGAAAGTTTTGAATTTTTATACTAGTACAGTTACCTGGAAGGTGGCCCAACTTTGTAGATATTTGCACCATGATATCATCAAGCAAATCATTATCGTCCAACCTTTACATCTCAATACTCATGATGATACCATATGTTGGAGGCCTTCCAGTGATGGTAGTTTCTCTATCAAATTAGCTTATAAGGCTACTGAAAATCATTGCAACAATACCAACTCAAAGATTTGGTCTAAGATTTGGAAATGGTCGACCTATGAAAAGATCAAAACCTTCATCTAGAAAGTTGCTTAGGATCACATGCAACCTAAATTCACCTACTCTGATGGGAGCAATCCTTGTCATAGAATATGCCCTTTTGGTTGCAACTCTTTGAATTCAACTATACATACTTTGAGAGATTGCAAGAAATCAAAAGAGGTTTGGTTAAAATTATTAAAACAATCAAAATTAACACATTCTTTTCTCTTCATTTATAAGATTGGTTAATTTGGAATGTTGAGAATGATGCAAGAAATGCTCGGGCAAGGAAGACTTCCTAGCAAAGATTCTTTGGCTATGTGTGTTCGAACATCTCGAAAGAAAGATGCAAAAATGTCTATTTTGAAGAAGATAATCAAGATAGAGACATTGCTTTTTACCAATATTCAGGATATTATCAGTGATCGATACTTCCAATTTAAAATTGAATTTCTCACTCAAAAAGGGAATAAAACCAAAGCTAAATGGCTCCCCTCCTAAGGAAGAATGGGTTAGGTTAGACACCGATAGCTCTGTTAATTCTCTTGGTGCAGCTTCTTGTGGCAGTCTCATATGGAACAAATAAGGCAACTGGATTAAAAGTTTCTCCAAATATCTTGGATATTACCCAAGTATAGCTGCTGAACTTATGGGTATCTTAGAAGGATTTAATATCTGCTAGGCTAAAAAGTTTAAGAAAGTTAACGTCTATTCTGACTCAACTGAAACTCTATCGTTAATTTGTAATGAATTCTCTACCAATTACTCTCTTTCTACTATTATCAATGATATCAGAGATCTCATTATGTAAGACTGGGTTGTCACCTTTGATCACGTTTTTAGAGAAGCGAACACATGCACTGGCTGGTTGACCCATCAAGCCTCTATTAATCATTTCAATATATTTATTTTTGATACTGTGCCCTTTAATTGTAGGAATTTTTTATACATTGACATGACTCAGCATGTCAGTTAGTATGGTCTTTATGTGGGCTCCCATTGAAAAAAAGAAAAAAAGAATGCGAGGCAAATGATTTATGCGTTGATGGTAAAAAAAAAAAAGATTTATGCGTTTGAACTGTCAAAGAGTCTTGAGGAATTATACTCAGATAAAACTATGATGTTTTATACCAACGCCAGTGACGCATATTTGCACGCATGTGCTGATGCAATGTGGGGCTGTAAATTGGGTGAATTACTTCCAGAGACTTCAATTCTGAAAATGAAAAGTTAAAGGACCTGTTTGTAATTTTGGATAAATTTTTTTGTAGTAATCTGGGAATGTTTGCTGCATGGTCACAACATATGCATGAAAGCAGTGGGTCCCTAATCTCCTGGAAAATAGGGCTGGGTTCGTGACGTCATTATGTTGAAAATTTTGTTGTATTTGTCGCATGATCCCAGATGAAGGGGTCTTTATCGAAGTACTTAGGTTAGAAATCGTGGCATTTTGACATAAGACTATTACCGAACACTTCACCCTCTTGCGTAATTAATCGGATAAGGATCATTCTTAGGTCCCATGGATGATTATTTTGTGAAATTTAATTACTTTTCATCGACCCGCCTGGCGCCTGCCATCTTGACTTTGTAATGATTAACACCTTTTATTTTAATAATTAATAAAGGTCGTATTGTTGGTGCCAATATCCAATTAGTTACAGCTGTAAATCACTATGGGTTCGTTTGGATTGCTCTACTAGGAATCTAGGATGCTTGTTCGCGACACAATGTCGAAGAAGTACTATATCTGATTTGAAGTTCTGGGTCTTAAACTTGCCAGTGCGGGATCCCCCATGACGAAGGAAAAAAGATGGCGATGCATCAGGAGCCAAAAAAGAAAAACTTCCATTCTCATCATAAATAGGTGATATTTCCGAAGGATCATGAACTTAATACATCTCCCTCTGAATAATCGAGAAACAAGAATCCTAGGAGTCTAAGAAACTGGAACAACAATCTGCCACATCTTAATGTCGCAGTCCAAACTGCCACTGTACACTAGAATAGAAGCTTCAGACGAATCACAAGGATCAATCGCCGCAGCTATGCACTTAACGGCACCTCTATGCCCTTCCAAAACTGCTAAACACGAGTATTCTTTCTCAACTCCTCTCCAAATCCGAATCGTTCTATCCGCAGAGCCACTACACACCAAATCCCGAACCACAGCCAAGCACAATATGGACATTGTATGCCCTCTTAATGCCCCCACCAACGCCATTTTTCCATCTTCTTCTTCATCTTTCTCCCACACCAATATCGATCTGTCACTCGCACCAGAATACAACACACCCTCATCACTGCTCAGAGCCAACGCATTGACCCCAGAATTGTGTTTCTCTAAAGTATCTACCAAAGAATGCTTCTTTTCGCCTTCTCCTTTCTTCCACACTTTTATTCTCTTATCTGCTGATCCTGTGTACAGGTACCCGTCACGGGAAACTGCGACCGCGTTTATGGCATCGTCGTGTGCGTTGCTTACTGATTCTAAGCAGGTGAAGTCTTTGGTTCTCCATATTTTGACCGTCCTGTCCCATGAAACTGAATAGAGCAAGGTCTCGTCTTTGGACAGGGCCAGAGCAGAGACTGTGTCCACATGATGAACCCACGTACATTTCTTGTGCCTTCTGATCTGGACATGGTTCTTGGGGATCAAAATCTTGGAAGCACGGTCAGTCAAAGTTGGAAGGGTGGCTAGGTGCGTGTACTCCTGTTGGTCACTTTCATGGTTGCTGATCTTCCATGCTCTGATTTTGTGGTCTTGGTGAGCACTGAAAAGCTTATCAGATTGAGCCACGATGAATTTCACTGCACCCTTTCCTGAGAGTGCTATGTTGCTGATGGAATTTTCAGGGTCTAGCTCAGAGCGTAAAACGGTGCGATTCCATGACCTGATTTCTCTGTCAGATGAACCTGTGTAGAGGAAATTCCCGGAGAGGGCAAGACAGGATGTGTAGGAAGTGTGGCCTTTGAGAGTTGTGAGGCACCTGTGGTAGGTGGTGGAAGGATGGTCTTTGTTTTCCTGCTGGTGACGAGATTGTGAGTTAAGGGAAGGGACTGAAGCGATGCTGCGTTGAGAAGACACAGAACGTGGACCTGTTTGAAGGTGGTGCGAGGAAGAGGAAGAAGAAGAGGCATTGTAAGATCGGTGATGTTCCATGGTTCACATGTTTATGTGAGAGTAAATGGTATGGCAGAAAACGAAGTGAGGCATGTTATGCAAGTGAAGACCAAGATATATGATACAACGGGAATAGGTAGTGGGATGCTTTAGTAGTGGGATTGTTCCTGTTTGGCTATTTTCTTTATGGCCTCGCTAATTCAAGCATGTTCTTCTCAACTGAAGTTAATTTATCATTTTGGTTCAGTGACATTGAAGTCGTCTCCAGAACTCCAATATTTGAATTTGACTCCCAAAAAGAGGGAAATTATTTTTTTAAAAATGCTTGGGTCACTCTCCACTAGTCTTCTCAGTTTTTCCTTTTGAAAATGAAAAATAATTGTAATAATAATATAAACTTGGTGGCCTTGTGGTCTTAGCTAGCAGCCATATAGAGTTTATTCCAACTAGCATTTGGGAGGTTGTCGGCTTGTGTGATTCAACAAACCTTCTGATAAACAGCGCATGGCTGGGAACAAATCGTACTAAATAATACGTATAATGAAAACGATAGATTGCTTTGCATTTAGCAGCATCATATGACCTTTCTTGTCATCCAGAAGCTGTTTATTTCTGCTGATGAACAGTAAAATCATTAATCAGAGAAAATACTCACTGAATAAAGCAACACAAATCGGAGACACTTGAATCGTTTATTATACCCTTTGCTCATGGACAGAGACACATCAATTGCTCTGGGTAAGCTGGCTAGCTATCATAAAGACGCAGCCAAAAATAAGAACAGAAATATTACATCAGTTGACTCTTCAATTATTTTGGATCCTACAAGCTATATAGGCAGTGGAAATCTTTCGTCTAACATGTAATCGAAAGGCTTCCCCTAATTTGCACTCAACAAAATCCCAAACCAGATTCCTAGCTGGTATAGGCGAAGAAGTCCACCCATGTGGCTCAGACTAACCTAAATTTGGACCACATGCCCTGTTTCTAGTGTCCTTACCAATCTGATTCCCAGATCAGGTGTCCTAAAAGAAACCTCTAGAATGCTATTTCGTCCTCAACTCTCACTTTGATAATGACCCTTAATTGAGTTCTCAATTTCCTTTCCCATGCCCCAGTGGATTCAACAAAATAGTTCCGAATTGACTAGTACACCCTGATAAATTTCCAAGTCCCACCATTTTGCACTTCTGGGTCGATTTCGTCTGAAGATATTGTACCATTAGCCCCCACAGATCTTTTTTGAGAGTGACTTGACAAATTATATACTCTCAATGGGGTTGGACCAAAGGAAAACCAATGTTTACGTGATGGTTTACTTGAACCTTACTCTAAATGAACCCATCCAACCCTCTGGATTATGCAGTTTGAAAGCTTCCGTTTGGGTTGTGACTGATGTATTGTATGATAGGGCAGACATCTTTGTTATGCCTTCCGATCATGATCAAAGTTTAACACCATTTTTTTTTTTTTTGAGAATATCATGATCAATGGTAGTTATTTTTGGCTACTGAATCGCTAGTGGCGATGATATGTCGAATCAATGACATTATCATGTTTTCCGATCCTAAGAGAGACTTGATGAAATGCTTCCAAAACTGTCAACGTAAATGTTTTATAATCCTATTTTCTATATTGACCTGGTTCGTACTTGATCTCATATCTATGTCCCGTATGGTTATGTGATTCCATTTAGGTAATACAAGGAAAGTGAAAGTCCAGACTTGACATATAAAATCTGGTTGAAGGATGAAAATGAAAAATGTTTGAGGAAAGCCTATTGTCCCATCACAAAGATATTTTTATATGCAATTAGATTAATTGTTCAGAGCGCTCTTTGTTATCCAAGTCGGGAAGCTAGTGCCAACAAGAGTACTTAAACTTTATGACCAGTCATTAAAAAAATCCTACCATCTTTGCACGTGAATCTCTAGTCTTCTCGTTCTTTGGTAACCATAAAGAAACTTCAATGGCCTCTCCCAACATCTTGAAAAGTGGTCCCTCCACATTCGATACACAATCCTATTATTTTATCACGAGCCAATGAAACTTAATTCTAATGGAAAGGATACCAAACGAGGATGAGCTTGAATCTCCTTCAAATATGACAACTTTAATTTGGTTAATAATTTATCAGTATTCTTTAAGCCATCACGTATACTCTAACCCTATTAAGTATCTGAACCAAACTCACCTAACTTTTTTATGTCTCACGATCAAGAAGAGTATAGAAAACAAATGACGAAACAAATCTGGCAGATAAAAGGATTTGCATATATGTATTAGACGAGCAAATTCTGTGAATGATCTGAAATGCACAATGTAACAAGATTCATTAAAATTTCATTTATTTAAAGCAGCATTGAGTGGCAGTGTGGGAATAGGTTTCCATTCAGGGGATGGGCATACTATTTGCTAAATGAAAGTTGGAGATAGTGGACTTTGCCACATTTAGAAAACGCCATTTTATTTTTTGTTTTTGTTGCTTTCTTATACCGCGCTGCACAATCATTCAAGAGCACACTTGGGTGTGGCATAAAAAATATGCTCACGGGGACTTGAATGATAGTTCAGGTTGCAAGACCCTACATCCTTCTTATCGTTTCGTGTTGGTCCTTAAAATGGAAAATGACAGCAAACACCTGTAATAATGTTGTGAGTGACTTGATGTTACTTACTGCTAAGGTGAAAAAAGAAGAAGAAAAATAATTCTGATGAATATAATATTATATACTGGTGTAGTGGTGTTAAAGTGATAAAAAGTTGGTGCGTACGTTACGAGTCTGTTGGCCGATAAGCAGAAACTCGCCATTTGGACGGTGCTATATGGTCTGCCTTCACGACATATCACTCAGCCACAGTAGTTTCGCTTACCAGTCACCACAAACATGAACAAACCTTACATGTACTCCATTCACACAATGCTTAATTCTCAGTCTTCTTCATCTTTTTTTTTTTTTTTTTTGTTTTTCCTTCGGGCAAAAATAGCTGGGTCGAGATCCTATGTGTTATTCACTTGTTTGTTTTTCTTGGTCCAACTGGAGACATTTATCACATATCATACCAAATTTAAACTGAGATATATCTGTAATAATTTACGGATGATTCAAATTGTTATACATTTTTATATGGATATTACATATTTATTGATAGTTTTTTTTTATACCAAAAAAAAATTTAGGTGAGTTGACTTCTATAAATTCATGAGAGTCAGTGCATCTCTTCAAATTTAAAAAGTGTTTACATCAAAAGCGAGATTTGATACAATCTCAATCAATTAAAACAGCATTGGTTGGTGATAGAATTCTTTTGCTGCATCGCCTAGCTCAATTCCAGCCCAATAAGTTATGGGCTGGTCCAGTGTGCTCATGAATCAGGGTCAGGGCCCTAAGGAAAAAAATAAAAGTGAAGGGCGCAATTGGTAAACGACGTAACGTAAACATGTGGTAAAGGGCGGAGGAAAAAGAAGGAGATGATCGGGATTTGACTTTTGTCGTATCTTGACCCTGAAGAGCAGAAGTTTCCAGGAAAAGCATTTAACAGGGCGCCCACCGCCCCAGCATCGATACAACGAAAGCGCAACCGTGTGAATTGCTGGCTTTGGTCCCTCTAGAAGATTCCAATACTCGTCAACGTGGAGCTTCTGGCCGTTTTCATGACGTTATCCACTTTTCTCCCTCTCATTTTTGAGCAAGTTATTATAATTTTCAATACTGTGATATGATTTACATGTAAAAAAAAAATATTATATATACCTATATGGATTGATATTCTTTGGTGGGTTGAGCTGGTTTTCTGGTCGACGATGTGTAGAAGAGAAAAATGAAAAAGCATCTGAATTGAAGCAATACTGCACGGGAACCGGTAAAAGTCAAAGATTGAGCGCCCTTATATTTCAGTTATTTTAAAAATATATATACAATGAAAAAGTCATAACTTAAGAGGGCATGTTTCTGAAATTAGAAAACAAGTAACGCTACATGCTGCTATAAATAAGCGTTCAAAACATGGAGCCACCAAATTGTGGCGGCGATATCTGCGTTTCTTAATTACGAAGAAGCTGAGCTGAGGGGGGGGGGGAGGATCTGATCATCGGAGAAGACATGGAAGGGAACAGCTCTTACGGCACATCGTGGGCTGACCAGTGGGATAATAACCCAGACCCGGCGACCGTCGACGCCAAGAACAACCACACCGGAACCGCCAAATACAAGCAGAAGGTGGGAGAGGGACTTGGAAAGACCAAGGCCGTAGCTAAAACCGGCATGTCCAAGTTGAAGGAAGGTACCTCCGTCGGCCTCAACTGGATCAAGACCAAGTACAACAAAACCTCCCACAAATCCTGATCTCATCTGTCTTTCTATTCATTTTTATTTATTACCCTACTCCATTAGTCCATTTGTCATTTAGGCCTTTTCTTTTTCTTGTACCATATTTGTCCCATAGGCTATGTTTTCTTCTCTTTCTCCAACTTTGGTATTCATTTATTCTTCACATACACACTGTATCGGATTGTGCTCTTTCTCATCTTTATGATTGTTAAGGCTGTGACTTCTGAACTCAAACTCCTGCCAAATGCTCAAACCTGCCCCTCTCTGAAACCTTAAAAGCTAATAATGTTTTTTGTTGTAGCAAGTCTGTGGTTAGACCACATCATTTTTTTTTTTAAAAAAGGTAATAAATAGTGTTGGGCTAGAGGATGGGCCATGGCGTCGATGGAAGGCCCACATAGTCGGCCCATTCCTTTCTTGTCCATCTGGCGAGCATCCATCCCGCTGTCAGATCTCGAATCTGATCTCGGAAATCTCAAACATGATCAACCAATAAGAAAGGATAATATTTTGATGGTTGAATGAAATTTAAAAACAAAAATAAAAAAGGAGAAAGGGAATTGCACGGGCAGATCATAGTATTTATATAGGATAATTTTCTCTCTTTGTAAATTTAAACCGTTTAAATTAAATATATATTTTAAAAAATTATAAAATTCAAGTCTAGATGGACAGTGATCCCTTCTTTACTTTGGAGAAAAGCCAACCCTTCACATGTACAAGAAGTGCCCGAAGAAGACACTTTTTTCCAGTTTCTTCTTTCAGCTTTCGAAGGAAATTATTTCTATAATTTTTTATGGGACTTTTTTTTTTAAAGCGACTACCCCATTAAATTGATCGAATTAGCTACTTGTGTTTGTCTCTGTGTTTCATTTCGATATCCTGAAAAAACTTAGAAGTATTAACGCTGGCGTTCAAACTAATCCTGACGTCCACTATGGCATCGTTCTCATTAATGACGCCCAACTACATTAATGCTAACGGGATCTGAAGAAGGGTCCACATTCAAAATTAATGCCCTTGCTATATATTGATTCAAAATTGACCTAAGAAACTGTTATCACTAGTTGCTTGGAAAACTCTCGAGTTGTTGAGTCCAGTAGCCTAGTTGGCTAGCTAGGATCCTTGCGAAGGAGCCGAAGGCAACAAGCCGGTTATGGAGCTGAAGAAGTACTTGAATGACTGCCACGGGTAACAGAAAGCTGCTGCTTCTTTGGCCTTGCCAGTACCTGCTGCTTTTATATAAGGTGAGACCGCGGTTTTTTCACACAAGTGCTTAAGAATGCAATTCATTATTCATGTCCTTTTTTTTTTTTTTTTTTATAATTTAGTTACAATCTCCCCATCAATATACAAATCTTCTTGATAAACAAATAACATGTAACCATGTAAGCACCTGCACCATGATAAATTCTTCCTCTTGCACCATGACATCTATAATATATTCCTTTCATTAAAAAATATAAGATATTTTTAATCAAATCTCATTTCTTAATAACGTAATTATCTCCTTTCCAGCTAATCTTATCTTTTCATATTTATTTATATTAAATACCTTACAATAAATATAAAGTCATTATCAATAGAGACATTTAAAAAAAAATAATAATTACACCTCAAAAGATTAAAAGTATCTTACATTTTTTAATATTCAATTCCTTAAAAGATTTGTATTTTTTAATAGAGAAAGTATCTAATAAAAATATATCATGTAGAATGATTGTAAATATAAATTGATCTATCATTATTGATGATAAAAAGAAAAAAAAAGAAATTAATGTCATGTAATATTTTATTTGATTGAATTAGTATTATAAGATATGATTTTATTGAATGAAAAATAAATGATGTAATGTATTGAGTTGATACAAGATTTTTTTATGTTCATAATATCATACACTTTTACCAGATATAATATCATAATACTAATTCGGGACGTTTTGCAAAAATTCGATATCAATAATCAATTATATTATTATAGAGAAATATTATGTTAAAAAAATTAATTAAGATAAATTAATTTTAATTAAAAAGTAACCTTAAATAAAGTAGTATGTAATGACAAGGGAGAATTACCAACCACATTTACCTGTTTTCTTAATTCTGAAAAAAAGTACTGTATTTTGGACCGGAAGTATTACGTGAGAGACGATCGTGGTAAAAGTAACAGCTTCTCAATCAGTTCCTGCGAGTAGATGAACCTGCTTGTCTCACTGGCTCACTCTCGTGTTGGTTTCATCAGCTAGATTTCGAGAAATGGCGATCCCAGTGCCCAACAGACTGTTATTCATTGATGGCGAGTGGAAAGAGCCAATCCTCAAGAAACAAATTCCCATCATCAATCCCACCACTGAAGAAAAAATTGGTCGCTTCTCTTTCCCTAACTATACAGTACTCCATGATCTTTTTTGCTTTGACGCTAATCTCTTTCACATCTCAATTCATTACTCTTTGCCGTAAATTGATAACCAGAATATAAGCATTTCTTTTACTTCCTACTTGGTCGGATCATTCCTAATTCTATCGCTCATGTGTTCTAAATCTTACCTTGTTTAGGGGATATTCCGGCTGCCACTTCGGAAGATGTGGAGCTTGCAGTGGTTGCTGCTAGAAGAGCCCTCACCCGGAACAAAGGCTCGGATTGGTCAACGGCTTCCGGGTCGATTCGGGCTCGATATCTGCGAGCTATTGCTGATAAGGTTTTATTCAATTTTTCTTCCCCGCTTCCCTCATGAAAACAACAGATCTATTGCTGATTCGTCGATATATGGATGTTCTGATCCCTTAGTATCCAATTCCTGCTCGCAGGTTAAAGATAGAAAATCTGAACTAGCAAAACTCGAGGCAATGGACTGTGGAAAACCACTGGAAGAAGCAGCGTGGGACATTGTAAGTGATAAGATAACTTTCGACATTTGGGTTAGCACCGTCTACCATAAATGCTTGCTTACGTGTATATGCATGGTTTTTCTAGGACGATGTTGCTGGTTGCTTTGAGTACTATGCTGACCTTGCTGAAGGTTTGGATGCAAAGCAGAAGGCTCCTGTATCTCTTCCCATGGACACCTTCAAGAGTTATGTTCTTCTGGAGCCCATTGGGGTTGTAGGATTAATTACTCCCTGGTACCCGCTGATTCTTTGGTTTAACTTTATCTGCTTTTTCCCTCCTTTCAATATGCTTGCCGGGTTTTGTGATTGCATCAAGCTATGTATAAGTTGTTATCATAAATTTTTGCTGCTTCATTCGTGGTTTTTTATGATTTAAAAGGACAAAAATTATTGCCTATTTTTGCATTCCATGTAAGCTTGATAACTGAAAAGCTGGGCTTTGCATATCATCTGATCTTTTGCTGTCGTCTGATTACAAGTATTAATTCAGAGTTCAGACCGTCTTTAGGTGTGTATGCAAAGATGAGCAAAAATACTCAACTGATCGTACTTTTCATGCTAACCGTATATTATTCAGAAATCCCTCTTGCTAAGTGCTCAACAGTTTGTCAGTAGCTTTTAGCATCTCACACCTCACGCCCAACATGTAAAGCAAGAGGCAATATAACTTGCTTCTCGTGAATAACTAAATAAGTATTCTGTGCTGCTTTGGAATCTTGTTTTGTTGATTTGACAACACATCAACTGCAAGCAATGTAGCAACTGTGTTTATCATGGACTCTTCAGAGCTGTAAACTGCCCAGTCCAATTTGTTGATTTTCTAAAATGTCAAGATTTGCCAGTTTCTTCACCCTTCATTTACTTAAATTGAATGAAAGTGCTTACTTTTGGATGGGCTGGTAAAACAAGTGCTTCTATGGTCATTGTGTTTGTTTAAGCACTTGCAGCTTTTTTTCATACGCTAAATTATATAAAAAGTTTAATATAAAAACCATTGTCAGGTTATTTTGAAAAGCAATAGTGGGGTACAAAAAGTAAGCTATAGGCTATTTATTGCAACCACATGAGTTACTTATGGCCAAAAAAAAAAAAAAGTTACTCTGCATAAGCTCGTCCATAACACAGAAAGCGTTTCTGCCCATGCTTATGTTACTGATTCTGTTGACAAGTGCTTAACTGCTTCTAAATAAAAAACATGCCCATCCTTTTCCTTAAATTATATAGATCCTCGGGGTTTATGCATAGAAAAATCAATTGCTAGTCATTCAAAGCCCTATTTTGTTGTTTTAAGATGTAACAATGCTATATTACTTATGAAGTGTTGAAATGGATAGATATATGATGATTTCAATTTCAATGATCCAGGAATTATCCTCTGTTAATGGCTACATGGAAGGTTGCTCCAGCTTTGGCTGCTGGCTGTACTGCAATATTAAAGCCTTCCGAATTGGCATCTGTGTATGTCCTTGTCAAGTATCAACTAGTAAAAACTTGTTTCTCTGTTACGTCAATTTGTTATTATGTACTATTTCCAATTTCAGGACCTGTTTGGAGCTGGCTGATATCTGTAGAGAAGTGGGCCTTCCTCCAGGAGTCTTAAATATTCTCACTGGATTAGGCCCTGAAGCTGGTGCTCCTTTGGCATCCCATCCTCACGTTGACAAGGTTATGTCTTTAGTTTGTGGTAGAATTGAAATAAGATGGAGCTAAATCTTTTCTATCTCTTGCAACTAATGTTCCTACGAGGTCTAAGTTTATGAAGTATCCATACCATAATTCTTTATATTCAAGTTTTCAACAGATTGCCTTTACTGGAAGCTCTGCAACTGGGAGCAAGATTATGACATCTGCAGCTCAACTGGTGAAGGTATTTTCTAGCAGTATTCTCTGCAAATTGTGGACAGTTCATTATGTCCTATTTTGAAGGATAAAGGTGAAGGATAAACACATGCACAGACATTCTTAGAGGAATCGGCAGGAAGCTTTTTCCTTACGTTCTCTGCCGTATCATGTAATATCTGATTTTTGGTTTATTGCAGCCTGTTTCACTAGAGCTAGGTGGGAAAAGCCCAATCATTGTTTTTGAGGATGTTGACCTAGACAAGGGTCAGTGATATTTTAAGTTTACCTAATTACGTTTGGACAGCTCATGAGTAAATTTTTGGCATCTAAAACTCGTTGCTGAGTTTCTCAGATACTGGTGTGCAATTTGATTTTATTGATCCATTGTCCATGATCTTTAAACAGCTGCTGAATGGACCATCTTTGGCTGCTTCTGGACAAATGGTCAAATATGCAGTGCAACATCTCGTCTTATTATACATGTAAGTTTAATGAATGACCCGTCACAAACAAGAATTGGTAATTGAATCTCACTTCTCCTATTTTTCTTCCCCTTATTCTTGCTGAAGAAATAGGAAGCATTGTGTTAACGTTGACTCTGGTTGAGTTTGTTCTAAGAACTTTGGATGCATTTTGTCAACTTTTTGACAAGGCAAGGTACTTGTATCTTTTCAGGAAAGCATAGCGACAGAATTTCTGAATACAATTGTGAAGTGGATAAAAAATATCAAAATTTCAGATCCCTTGGAAGAAGGTTGCAGGCTAGGCCCTGTTGTCAGTGAGGGACAGGTATCCTTTTGTTTCTCATTTAAGTAGACTCCCAGATAAACATTCAGCTTATCTTCACCTCCCCTCTTTATTATAGTTATAAACTAAAGGGATTATTTAGGTAACAATGAAAATACACTCTGTATTTGGACTTCTGCTCGTTTTTGTTACATAATTTCACTTTTAATTTGGAAGAAAAGCAATACAAGTTGAAATTCTTTTGTGTTCTTTGTTGATTGTAACATGCTTCTGCTGATCGAGTGTATTGAAGAAAACTTTTGCCATGGTTTGTTGGCCCCGCACGCGCTCTCTCTCTCTCTAGTTTTATATTGGTGGCTCACACCATTGTGTTTGGCGAGACTTCGTTTTTCCTCCACCTTTCCATCAATTTAAGCAATTATTTGTCTTGAACTAAGATGATGCTGTATCTAATGTTCGGATTATATGATTCAGTATGAAAAAATATTGAAGTTCATTGAAAATGCTAAAAGAGAGGGTGCAACGATTTTGACTGGTGGATACCGCCCTGAGGTATGATAATCCCCTTGTATCTATTCTTGGAGTTGTGTTCCTGCTTGTCACAAGATTTTGAGTTATTTTTCCAAATTAATGGCAGCATTTAAAGAAGGGGTTTTTCATTGAACCAACTGTTATAACTGATGTGACTACATCCATGCAAATTTGGAGAGAGGAAGTTTTTGGACCTGTTCTTGCTGTAAAAACGTTTAGTAATGAGGAAGAAGCTATTGAGCTTGCAAATGACTCACAGTGAGTTGATTATTGTCTAGGAACGTTTGAATCTTTTTCCTTTAATTTGTATGTTGATACCATATTGTATGTACTTGTGATTTTTGACAGTTATGGATTGGGTGCAGCTGTAATATCAAATGATCTAGAAAGATGTGAACGTATAACCAAGGTCAGATATCCTCGATTGTTATTAAAGTGGCAAATGAATTGGATTAATGTTTTATTGGATTTATTGCTTCTCTGCAGGCTTTCCAGGCTGGGATTGTTTGGATCAATTGCTCTCAGCCCTGCTTCACTCAAGCCCCATGGGGAGGCCAAAAACGTAGTGGCTTTGGTCGTGAATTAGGAGAATGGTATGGATCTGTTTCCTATGTCAACAACTGTGAAAATCACTTTGAGCACTCCTTAGTTTGGATGAGAGACAGCAATGACACCTTAGTATGAAGAATATAATCCTAATTCTGACTGTTATAAATAGAGGAAGGATACAATATATATAATGCCAGTTTTCGCAGTAGATTTCTGGTTTGATTAATTTTTCTTGGCCAGTAACGTCCTCTGGTCTGAATCTGGCTAAGAGAAACACAATGAGGGGGGAAAAAAGGTACAGACAGTTGCGTACTTGAAGGCCTTAGAGAAAACACTTTCGAATCTATTACTTTCAAACCTGAAACATCGTTTTATCCTAATCGTTTCTTATGATGACTGATCATTATTTGAGCATCTGAACCTGAATATGCTGGCCTATTTTAATTTTCAGGGGACTTAATAACTACTTGAACGTGAAGCAAGTCACACAGTACATCTCTGATGAACCATGGGGCTGGTACCAGAAACCTTCGAAGCTGTAATGATAACCGCCTAAACTGATAATAAATCGGGGTTCTAGGAGAGGGCGATGCTAAGTTGTTAGCTCAATGTCAGGAAGACAACACTTGATATGGACAAGTCATGACTAGTTTGTTTTTATCCAACTTCTCCCATAGCATTTGCTTCTTGTGCAGATAAGAACGAGAAATCAAAGTATCTTGCCTGTGCAGGCCAGGGCTGCGAAGTCATATATATGATAGAGACATTTCCCATGTATCGAAGCTTCCAAAATTTGCGACCCCGAAATGCATAATGAGTGTCGTAATTGAATTGTACTAGACTAGAAGTATTCCATAATGTGGATATCAGGATGGGAAATTAAGAGTTTTTTTTTTTTTTTTGCCTTGTAGGAAATAAATACATTACGGATTCAGTGACGTGAATGCCTGAATGGTTGAGGATCTTTAGTTTGATTCCCATACAAATTTTCCAAACGTCAACCGTCGGGTGGCAATTAATTTTCACTATGCTTACATGATACTTTTCTTTTCCTGCCAGTTCAATTATTCAAGATCTCAGGGCCTGATGAATCGGTTTCTTCATATCATTTCTTATATAGCTCAGCAATCGACAGAGTCTCTCGTGGCTCCCTGAAAGCAAGAAACTTGGAAAGGCAGACGGTGTTATGAATTGAATGTTCCAAGCAACGTCATTGTTCAATCTTATTCAAATCCTTACAATGTAAAAGGGAATTTCATGATTTCACAACCACTTTTCGATAAACTACTAAAAGAGGATAAAAGGAAGAAACATATTGCTCACCGTAGTTAATAAATCTTAGGGTTGATTGAAATGTTGAATACGTTCACTCCAAGATCTTTAGATCTCAAAAATCTAATTTGTACAGGGCTGTCAATTTAATTCGTTTCTCGGTCTTCAAAGAATTGGTTACTATCATCTATGCTAGCTTGCTAGCTCATTACGATGGTGATACGGATGTAATATTTAAAATGATGAATATTAGAGAAATAATCAGAATAATGGTTATTAGTTAGAGTGTGGCTAATTTATGTCACTATCTCTTTGTTAGTTAGCATTCTGTTTATGCTTGTAGTTGTGTCGTGTATATTCAATCGTGTTTATATACTGTGTACAATTTCTATCAATATCATCATCAAATCATTTCATCTCATTCACTTTTCATTTGCTTCTACCCTACTCTCTCTTCTCTTTCTTCAGAAATCCCTTGAATGGATTCTCCTCCTTTGAGAATGTAGAATTATTTTATTGTTTGATATGTATATTGAGCTTTATGTTCCAAACTCTTGCTTAAATAAAGCCATGCCATGGCCTTTTATATTTTTTTAAAAAAGAAAGAAAGAAATTTTACAATTTTTTTAGGAGTATTAGATAATTAGACTAAAATCTATTTTGTGACATTTTTTTAGTAATTTACTTTTGTTAATCTGGTTATCACTTTCCTTTTTTCTTTTGGGCACAATAGGATTTATTGGGCTACACTTTGGCATTGTGGGCCTAGGAAGAAATGAGCTTATGGTTTAAGCCCGGCAATCATACCCGCACTGACATTCGATTTTTTCAAAAACCAGGCGCTGGCGCCTGGAGGGTCGATATGATGCACCACTTCTCTCGCGGCGCACGTTAGAAGTGACCACGCGGAGCTTGCTCCTCGGTTTCCCGACGAACTGGCGTTGATTCGTTCACTCAGCGGCAATCAAATCGATGAGTTCCAAGGAGAGTTGCCGAAGTGAGCTTCGCATTGCGGTTCGTCAACTCAATGATCGTTGTCTCTGCTCTGCCTCCAAATGGTCCTTAATCTCACAAACCCTAAATTTCTGCTTCTTCTTCTTCTTCTTCTTCTTTTTCAAAATCACTTTTGCTGTTTTCCGACCCTCTTGTCCATGGATCTTATGTCGAAGTAGAGTTAAGCGGGTGTTATACTTTATAGCCAGCTAAGTTAAGTGGATGCTTTGGGTCATTAAATTATTAAACCTTGTTTATCGCCTTCCCCATTCTTGCAGAAACCTCCCTGAAGTTGAATTGGGGGGGGGGGGGCAGCTTGAGTACTTTAGAAGGAAACATATATAATGTAAAACTGCCTTCGTTCATTTTAGTTAGTTGCGAGTGCTGACTTTAAATACGAACCAGGTAGAATGTATAATTGCCTTAAATATGCAGGGCAGCGGAACAATTGACTGGCATTGAGCAAGACCCAGCAAAATCCACCCCTTCAAACACCAGATTTCAGCGTGGGAGCTCAAGCATTCAGAGGAGATACCGCACTAATGAGATAGTTGCAACTCCGGTTGCTGGGGTTTCATATGTAACCACTCCTGTGATGGTGGAAGATGACTTGGTTGATGGTGACTTTTATCTTTTGGCTAAGTCTTATTTTGACTGCCGAGAGTACAAAAGAGCTGCACATGTGCTTCGTGATCAAACTGGAAGGAAATCTCTTTTCTTGCGCTGTTATGCTCTGTATCTGGTGGGTTATGTTCTTTTCAATGAATGCTATGATCTATACTGGTGTCTTGTGTGCCTCAGCAAGCTTTAGTGCATTACAGAGTTGGATGTCCTCTCCAGCAAATAGTTGTTATGTTATTGTTATTATTCTGTGGGAGAATTTAATCAGTAAAACACGTGGTTGTTTCTTTGTTATTTGTGACAGTGCATCCTCAGTATATTTCTAATTCAATTGGTGAAAATTGGAGGAAACAAACCCTAGTTTAACTTGAAGGAATGAAACATGAGATTGTACAAGGAGATTAGTGGACTTTCTTGGCAAAACCAATATCAGAGTAGCATACAGAGTCATTGTCCACTATTCTCACAATAGATTGTATTCATGAGAGGAGCAGTTTTAAATGTTCAATTAGAGATGGGTTGTCTTGAATAAAAGTAATGCACTGAAATGTTAATTTTTCAATAACAAAATGTAATGCTTTGACTTTATCTCTAGTGATATATTTATTTCCTTCAGTTCATTTGCGAATGTGATATTAAAGACATAAGGACGAATATCTTTGGAAAATTATGTCATGCCTATGACTTCTCGTTCCTCCCTTTTTGTCTCATACAGGCTGGAGAAAAAAGAAAAGAGGAAGAGATGATAGAACTCGAGGGACCTTTGGGCAAGAGTGATGCCATAAATCGAGAATTGGTTTCTCTAGAGAGGGAGTTGTCAACACTTCGCAAGAATGGGACGATTGACCCATTTGGATTGTACTTGTATGGTCTGGTGCTCAAACAGAGAGGCAGTGAGAGTCTTGCTCGCACAGTTCTTGAGGAATCTGTGAATAACTACCCTTGGAACTGGAATGCCTGGTCTGAGCTGCAATCTTTATGCAGGACAATTGATACCCTAAATAGTCTTAATCTCAATAACCACTGGATGAAGGACTTTTTTCTTGCTAGTGCTTACCAAGAATTAAGGATGCACAAGGAGTCTTTGGCAAAATATCAATATTTACAGGGAACCTTTGGTTATAGTAATTATATACAGGCTCAAATTGCAAGAGTCCAGTACAGTTTGAGGGAATTTGATCAAGTTGAAGCAATATTTGAAGAGCTTCTACGAAATGATCCATACAGAGTGGACGACATGGATATGTACTCCAATGTGCTCTATGCGAAGGAATCCGCTTCTGCTCTGAGTCACCTTGCCCACAGAGTATTTATTACTGATAAATATAGACCTGAATCTTGTTGTATCATTGGGAATTATTACAGTTTGAAGGGGATGCATGAGAAGTCAGTCATGTATTTTAGGAGGGCGCTCAAATTAAACAAAAATTATTTATCTGCCTGGACACTAATGGGTCATGAGTTTGTTGAGATGAAGAACACACCAGCTGCTGTGGATGCATATCGTCGTGCTGTAGATATAGACCCATGTGATTATCGTGCTTGGTATGGGCTGGGTCAAGCTTATGAGATGATGGGTATGCCTTTCTATGCTCTTCACTACTTCCGTAAGTCTGTGTTCTTGCAGCCAACTGATTCTCGATTGTGGGTTGCAATGGGACAATGCTACGAAACTGAACAGCTTCGAATGCTTGATGAGGCCATAAAGTGTTACAGAAGAGCTGCAGATTGTAATGACGGGGAAGCAATTGCTCTGCACCAACTAGCAAAGCTGCACGAAGAGCTGGGGCGTGCTGAAGAGGCAGCATTTTACTACAAGAAGGATTTGGAAAGGATGGAAGATGAAGAGAGGGAAGGGCCTAACATGGTTGAGGCCTTGGTTTATCTAGCAACATACTGCAGAGACCAAAAAAGATATGAAGAAGCAGAGATTTATTGTACACGTCTTCTGGATTATACTGGACCGGTGAGCACAGTATGGCCTACACAATTTTTAATTTGAAATTTATCTTACCAAATCATTTAACGATGTATTTCTTTTTTGCAGGTGAGAGAAACGGCAAAAAGTATGCTTAGAGGGATGGGAATGGGGTCGACAAAATCCGGTCACCCTGCAATGGATATTGAGCACTTTCCACCCTAATTTTTCGTATATTAAGCAAGCAGGAAGGCTATTCCTCTTTTAGCATTTATTGGAATTGATCGCACAAGCATCTCTGAATGAGTGTGATGAATCTCGTCATTGATCGGGTTTTTTCACCTCCATAAAAAAAAAAAAAATTGATTGGGTCATATTCTCATTTTTTCATGGCATCGAGGTGTGGAGGATCAAACAGACTTGATTGCATCAATGGCTTCTATTGAAGTTGGTTTCACTGGTAAAAAAAAATTTGCAGATTAATCGGTCAGTTGCGTGAGAAATTTTATGAATTGCAAGTATAGGTCACATCCACTGTAGTAAGGTAAACTACTAGTTAATGCAAAATTTCTGGTGATGTTAGCAGCTGTAGAAGATTTTTTTTTCTTTTTTAATATTTCAGTAATCTCCAATTTTCGAAGGACAACAATAAATGGGAGAACTCATCCAAGAGGCATAACAGAAGAGTGAATTAGATGTATGCCTTGAGAGAGCAACATTGATGTACTCTTAAATTCAAAGCATGGTCTCTTGGTCTTTTTTTAAGTAAAAACCACCTAATTTAAGATGCAATTAAGAAATGTTTCCAAATTTGTCCCATATTAAATTACCACCATTTTGTTACAACTAGAAACAAAGAGGAACATTAATAACAGGGGCACTTCACTATTTGACATTATTATAAAGATTAAATAATTTTTTTAAAAAAATGGAATGGTTCAAAATTGTTTATAATTAAAGATTAAAGATTAAAGATGGATGGAGTAAATTGAAAGAGATGCGCGGCTTATGATTGCTTTTTAACTCCCTCCATTCTATTTTAGAAGATATTTTTTGAAATAATTTTGCATCCTAAAATACAAAATGTTTGAAAAAAATGGATGGTAAAATTAAAAAGAAAAGATGAATTTTTTTTTTTTACTTTGAATCTTTGACAGACATCTTTGCTAATTAAAAAAAATTCTGTCTTACGTTAATTAATTTTATCTAATTTGGATATTTAGTGGTATGTGCTTAATGTATTTGGTACTATTTCTTAAAAAATATCCAATAGGTTTATACTCTTTTTGCTTTTAAATATAAAAAAAATAATTGACTCACATAATTTAAGAAAATTAGTTAAATATACTTATTATATTTAAAATTAAAAAATTAGATTGAATTATTTTTTAATTGAAAAGAAGTTTTCCGTGAAAATAAATATTGATTCAAGGACAATTTAAGAAAAATGTAATAAATGTTCTTAAATTTTATAATTTTATTTATAGATAAAAACAAAATAATTTCCCTTATATTCCAAAATGGAGTAGTATTAATAAATAATAATAATGCAGCGCCATGAATTAGTCATTCTTGCTATTAATGATTCCTTTTATGTCATTGCCATTATTTTTTTGTTGATCAAATGTGTGAAATATCTATTGGTTTAGATTAAATTTATTAGCATTTATTGAAACAACTCCATTTTATAATCTCGTGGCAGCAATAGCTAGTTAACCTAACCCTTAAAGGTTGATGATATCCATTAATATTAGGAAACTTTCAAGAACTGAAGAATCAACGAAGCTCTCGTGAATAATGCATTCCTAGAAAGGAAGTAATTATTCCAAGTTCCAATCAACCTGACAAAAACTGGGCATTTTCCAATTATTGACGTTGTTTCTTTCTGAAGCAACTCAGTTGCGACTTGGATCAGCGAAGACGACGTTGATAGAAGGCATAACCTCTGGTGCTCTGTTTCGCACAAATCTCCTCAAAGCATGCTCTGCATACTTCTTTCCCTCTGCTTCGTTCTCCACCACTCCTGCTAACCTGTTCTCCTTGCTTACCCTTTTTCATTTCCAAATACATGGTCTCGTTAAATTACTCGTTAAATACCAACACCAACACTTCCTATCACGTTACAAGGATCATACCGTCATTTTCAAATTGGGTTATCACGTTAATCCGTAGTCCTCTATAATTCAACCCATCAATTTGATATCAAGTTCAAACAAGAAATGCAATAAGAAAATCAACACAAATCCAAAATTCTGCCCTAGATCCATACGAAATGAGATGAAGATCAATCATAACAAAATCCAAAGATACCACAGAGCTTCTATTTTCCAGAAATGACAAGCACACTGAGATGCAGAGAGAGAGACCTGACTTCAGGGTTGTAGCAGATATTACGAATCAACTGCATACCACAGATGCTGACGACGAATCCCATAGCCGCGAACAGTGGGTATACCTACCACACAAAATCTGCTTTTAAGGAAATCTCCACAGCACAAACAATTAACATTTGAAAGTAAAACTATTGAGTTCGAAGTTTTTTGCAGAATCAATCACAAGGAAGATGAATATTAGACATGCCTCGGGTCTGATCCATCGACTCCCCCTCTGTAACAGCGTAAGAAATTGAATAATGAGCGAAGCCTTTGCCCTATCACAACACTCTCCAACAATTGATAGTACAATCCATTTATAGGTGATTCTTTCATAACAACCATCAAGTGACAGTTTCAACTACATTTTAAAAAAAATAAAAATAAAAATCATGTTTAGTAATTTAGTTTCACCTGTTGATCTGGTCAGTATTCTGACAAAATTACTTTCTTACCCTCCATTAAAATGCTTGAATCGATCATATGCTTATTTTCAGATCAGCACGATCAGACTCGCATAGTAGTATTATTTCCTCAATGATAACTCATAGCTCCTTAAAATAGTTGATCAACTATGAAGTATAAACCGATTCAGCATCACTGAACTAGGAAACAAGTTTAGATGGAAGCCACCGTTAAAAAACCAAAAATTGACATACAAGCTAGCAACTGCCAGAGACGTCCAGGAAACAAATTCCATTTAACAGGAATTTAAGAAAGCTAAACGAACACAAATGAACTATACATATATCTTCTCTTTCACTTCCCAAAGATAATTTCTCATATCAAAGATGGTTTGAACCAAATTCCACCCTTGCACATATTTGCACATGTATAAGGACTTTTTTTGGGGGCCTGAGAAATGCATCAATGGTTAGGACTGACATTATCAAGCTTCCACTTCGCAAGATTTCCCATCAATTTCAGCTCCAAGAACACTAGGGTGATGTGCTATCCAAGAACATGAATCAAGTGAGAAAAGGATCTAGCGCTCTTGCTTCAGAATAACGGCACTTAATGTTCAGGAAATTTCGCTTCTGATAAGTATCAAACCGTATACATGATTAAATCCCACGCCTCATACCCAAGCAATTTTAAACCCCCAAAAAAAAAAAAAAACAAAAACCGGAATGCCTAATATTTTCAGCCGAGAAATAAAAAGATTATGCTCTGCAGTATGTGTGAGTTTTGGGCTCCTGTAAGCTTTTCTATAAGCAAAATCAACTACCAGATCCAACTTCTATGCCTCTCGTGGCCGAACCCGGTCACGCCAGGACCCTTTTTGCTTAGTCAGAACCTGAAACCAAGACCAAGCATTGTTTAACTCATTTATCATACTCAACCAGTTAACTGTGTCTATCATGGCATATATATCACTTACGGATTCACTCAAGAGGCTTGGAACAAGGTCCTTTCGATTATCCTCCTTCTCATTGTTTTCCCTTTCAGGCTCACTGTCTGAAATGATGGAAGGTGGAAATGCTGATGAACCAAACATTGCTTCCTCATGAGCAGCTTTAATTTGCTCCTCCCTTCTTGCCTTCACGATAATATGCAGGCATTAATTCAGACCTACGTAATTCTATTCAAGCTTTCAGACTAGGAAGGAGCTCAAGTAACTATCCATGCGAAAGTAAACGATGAAGGAGACACCTCAACTGCAGAAAACCGGAAACTCTGTCCAATGTGCTTGACTAAGGATGCATCATCTTCAGCAACTGTAGATTGTGCAGAAATGTACAGTCATTTCCATTTACATCAAGGCAAACCAAACCCATCAATGGTATCATATCAATAATTGATGTAGCGGCAAAATAAGAGAACATGGATACATTGATGACAAAGATGACAATAGCTATTAAGTACTATGTCGATCAATATTGAGAGTTTTTAACAAGACATCACATAAATCTGCAATGCCATGAAATCGTTGCATTACCAGGGACTCGCCAGAATGGAAAAAGTTAATGAAAACAACAAATGCAAAAGGGGTACTTTGTTTATTAGTGGTTTTCCAAGGAGAGACCAATAATTCCCGGGGGGAAAAAACATCAAGGATAACAACACTGTCACACAAGTCTGACCTTCAATTTCTTCATCGTCAACAGGGGCATCCTTGTTGAACTCAAATCTTTCCCAGCCAACACCTTTTTCAGAGTCGTTTTCAGCTGCATTAAGATATAGAGAAAGAAAAGATGTTACAATTTGGATAAAGCATCTCAGTTAGTAAGATTATTGGATAGAATGGTAGCAATACCCGTGTCAAATTTCAAGACATCTTAATTAACCTCCAGTATGGAAAACAACATTAATATCTTTTGTCAACGATCAAGTTTCATGAATATATCCATATCCATAGTAAGCTTCGGAAAATAACTTTGAATCTTGTTAATCGTTAAAGAAGAATGCAGATAAAATGAGAACCACACCATCAAACTAATGTAGGGGCTGCCAAATCTAGCGTTTCATAGGGCAAACAGAGTCGCTTACGACAGCGTATCTCGCAAAAAGCCATGCATGGGCCGATACTACTTTAAGATCCGAAAACTCACCAGTTTCAGAAAGCTGCAGCTTCATCTTGGCCTTGATTCTTTCAGCAGGTGACTGAGAATAGTTAAAAAAGACGGTCAGTCGGTCACGTCTCGTCAGTGCATTAAAAGCAACATCCTAAAGAAAGCCTGAATTCCCCTAACCTACGTTAGAGTTTCACAGTGCTATATAACACAGTGGGGTTTTACAGTATCAACAGTGCCAACCACACAGTGAGCCTACTCCAGTTGTAATTATTGTAAAGGGCAAATAGAAAACCTGAGTCAAAACAATCTCTCAAAGAGGAAAACAAAATTTCTCGCCAAGCCAAATTGCATGTTTTGGGCATCTGAATCCCCAGACAAGAATGTGAGAAAACGGAAACCATACCATCTTGTCGTATCCTCGAATCAACCGAGCATAATCAGGCCCAGCATTCTTTTCCTTACTAATTTTACTGGCTTCTCTTCGATCCCCAACATCAATATCACTCTTCTCAGACCTCCGCTGTTGTTGAGGCGAGGAGCTCCTACTCCTCCTTTCTGGTCTTCGTTCGCGAGGAGAAATGCTTCTACTCCTCCCTCTACGCCTATGCCGCCTATCCTCATCTGAATCGCCTCTCGACCTGCTTCTTCTCCTCCTCCTCTCAGCATCTCTGTCCCTCAATCTGTCTCTGCTCCTACTCCGCCTCCTCGACTCTCTGTCCCTCTCCCTATACTTGTCTCTGCTACGACTTCGCCTCCCTGATGCTCTACTATCTCTGTCCCTACGCCGTTCTCTGCTCCTACTTCGCCACCGAGTAGAATGTCCATCATCATCCCCTGGCTTGTGGCTTCGGTCCGAAACCCTAGATGGTCCGGTATCTTCTGCGGGTTTCTTCTTGAGCTTGTCTTGAATGGATTTGAGCTGTGCTTGCTTCTCGAATTCGGAAGCCTTGGAAGGGCTCGAAGCTCTAACGAAATTGCTTAGGAATGAAGAGGAAGAAGCGAGAGCCGAGCCGGGCTTCGGAACGGCATCAGAGTCGGTCGAGAAACCCAGACCTTGCTTGAACCTCGCAGCTCCTTCGCCCTTCCGGGTCAGCTCGTCATAGTAAGCCGCAGCCTTTTCTTCTTCCATTCCCCGTCGCCGTCCGCCACCTCCAGGGACCCCAGAGGAGCGAGGAACACTGTGTTCTGCTTTTCCTCACACCGAAAATTGAAAATTTAGATAATTCATTACTGTCTTTTATATGCTGTTGAACACGTTAAAATAAAATGGACTTGAATTTTCTCACAGCCAAGGGCAGGAAAAAAGAAACCAGATTTAAATTGTTAAATTATATTTAACAACTTTTAAAAATAAAAATTTAATTTTAACCGTTCAGATTCATAGTAAAAGAAAACAGTTGAGGAAAAAAAAGAGAAGAGAGACCCCCACCCCAAATAAAATCTACTAAAAGACTAGTGTACCAACATGAGATTTCTTTGGCCCAAAAAAAAAAACATGAGATTTCTAACAAAATTTCATTTAGTAGATTAGAAGAGGCTATTTTTTGCTTATTAAAAGAAAAAGGAGAAGAAGAGGCTATTTAACAAAAAAATTGAGACTAAGCAAATGATTTAAAAAATGATTTGATTTATAAAAGGTCCTATTGAAAAATAATTTTTAAAATTTAATTTTTTAAAAAAATTAAAATTAAAATTAAGATAAAAGTGGTTAATACAACATGATTTTAATTTAGATATATTTAAAAAAAACAGTCTATTTAACACATGATTTATATTTCAATATTTATTCTCTATCTGAATTTATGTTTTGGTAAACAAACACAAAAACTAAAAGGTTAGAAGCTAAAAAATAGTTTATATCATACCATTAAGTTTGAGTCAAAAGTGATTTTTCAACAAATTTTTATATAAACAATATTTGTTTAAGTTCGTTCTCCAGATGAGATCTGGGTCTGGACATAAATCAAATGTAACCTTTAGCATATAAAGTTGGATTTGCAAAATGAACATTGATTTGAATCTCCAATGTCTATTCAACGAACAATAAATATAGAAACAACAATTGTATTTAAATGTCATGCCAAAATCCAAAAGCCTTGCTTAACACCACCGCTACAGTCGTACTCTATGCAATTTTAAAAAGTCTTAAACTTTATTGAAATGAAAAGCTTACTAAAATTAATGTCTACTTTAATTTTTTAAAAACATTATCACTCATTATGGAGACTGAGATGAAAGATTGTTTGGTTGGAGGAACGGGAGGAAAAGGGAGGATTTTAATATTATTTCCTCTATTTAAAAATATAAAATATTTTTAATTAAATTTTACTTTTAATATAATAGTTACTTACTTTTTAACTAATCTTAATTTTTTATATTTACTCTTATTAAATATTCTATAATAAATATAAAATTATTATCAATAGGGACATTTAAAAAAAATGATTACACCTCAAAAGACTAAAAATATTTTATATTTTTTAATATTTAACCCCTCATAAAATGCCTTATATTTTTAAACTGAGGGAGTAAGTTGTTTGATTCAATAGGTGAGAGAAGGAATAATAATTATATATAGATAGATTTACTTTTATATTATTAAAATTATTTTTTAATAAAATATATTTATGAATATTTTTAACACGTAATTATAAATATATAGAGTAATTATTATTATTAAATATATTATTAAAAATCTATCATTATTAAATTTATTTAAAAAGATGAAAAGTAATAATTAAAAAATTGGTCTACTTGGTTTGAGGAGGGGAGGGATATAAAAGTTTTAATATTATCTTATTTGGTTCAAGAGGAAAAGGAGAAAAGATAATTATATATAGACATATTTATCTTTATATTATTAAAATTATTTTTCTAATAAAATATATTTATGAATGTTTTTAATATGTAATTATAAATATATTATTAAAAATCTATCATTGTTAAATTTCTTTAAAAAGATAAAAAATAATAATTAAAAAAAAGTATATTAGTTATTGTACAACAAAATCATATTCTCACCTCCTAATTCCTCTAATTTAAAAAGGAGGGGAGATTTTTTAAAAATTTTTCTCCCCTTCTTTTCCTTCCATTATTCTAAATTAAATAGGGGAAGGGGAGCAAAATCCCCCTTCTTCCCCCAACCAAACACCGGCAAAGAGATGAAAGATGAAGAATGCGTTTGATTGGGGGGGAGGCTAGCAAAGGCAACATTTTGGTAATTTAATAATATTAATTAAGTAATAAACTAATAAAAAATATTAAAAAAGTAAAAACGTCATTTTGGCATCTGGAGGCCGAAAAAAAAAAATCTATGAGCCGGCCAATCATTTAAACTGCTGTTTTTTTCCCCTTCAGTTTTTCCATTTTTTTGACCAGTTCATTGGTTTGATTCTTCCTCAATTTACTTGCCTCAACTAAACTGGACTAATGATTGGTTTTTAGTTCAACTGGTTGAACAAACTAATCTGATTTTTAAAATATTAAAATTATTCATTATCCATGGTAATTCAAGATAAAAGAAATATTATGACCATTTCAACGAAAAATGTGATTTGTCATAAATAGTCTATTTTATATTAGTCATAGACGTTAACATTGATTAAGCAAACAAAGGAACTAAACTGATGAGAAAGTTTGTTAGCTTTGTTTTGTATAATAACACGAGGATATGTTTTGTATAACTGTAGATTGCTGTCAATATTTCATCTCATCCTTCTTCCTCTTTAATTAACTATATATCCTTGGGTGATCTAATACATGTATGATTTAATTCTCGAAAATACAAAAATATCGGGATGTAACTTTAGCTTATATGTAATATGGTAATTTTTTACCAAAAAAATATGGTCATTTTTTTTAAAAAAGAGAAAATCTCTTTACAATTTTTACATTTAAAATTTTGGTTAAGTGATCTCAAAATCACCATTGATAATTTATTTTGATGGTACCTTTAATGCTACAGAATTAACTAAGGGGATCCCCATCATTAGATGTGAAACGTTGGTACCTTATGCCACGGAATTTGAAGTGAGCTATTATCCATCTACAGGAATTAAGGACAGTGGCCTTCTAAAAAATATCTACACAATAAGGTTCACACCACCTTCGCTTACATCTGGGAAGGTTGGAATTTAAATGCATTTACGTGGATATTTAAATTAAATATTCATTTTGACTTGGTCAATTTATATTTTTTATATCAAAACATATTACTCTTGTGGTCCCTGATCTTAGGAGAGAAATTTGCCAATAATAGATTGTTGGGGGATTAATGCATTTAATAGGTTCAAGCTTATAAATAATATGCTCAATTGTGACTCCACGCATCATTTTAAACTTTGGGGAGGTTTTCCAATTAGAGAGTGACTCTTGATAATTACTGTCACTAAAGTCTTTTGAATAGTCAAAAGAGTGTTTTAACAGTTGATTCTCTTCCTCTTCTTCTTCTTTTCTGATTTTGGATTTTAATTCTCCACTGTGATTAAGTTGAAATTGATATCAGATCTATAAAAGTATGACAAGAGGTATACATTTAAGTCTTTCTCTAGCCTAGTTTTTAGATCTTCGAAATAAGCATATCTGTGTAGTAAATTTATGATGCAGAATAGTGAATTGTTCCTGCATAGAAAGCTTTCCAATAATTACATGCAGAACACAAGTTTAGCAAATGCTCCAATAATGGCCGTTAAATGTAAATATTGTTTTCTCTTGCTTGCACATGGCTGTCAAAACCTAGTTCAAAAATCATCCTCTGATCGGGTTAAAGATGTTGCTCCTGACACAGTTGACAGAAAATGGAAATCAAAGTTTGGAAATCTGAGTGTCGCCTTCTTTGATGGTGATGTTGATAATACAGCTTCTTCTACTCCTACGTTCTTCCTTTCTAGCTTCTTCTTAAGTCGTAAGCAGGCCTAATCTACCATGTTAACAAAATCTTTTACAATAACGAACAACTAAAAGGAGTTTGACGTGCTGTGTTTGGACTCTCCCACCAGATAATACTCGCTCGTCTTCTTCACAAGCTCCGTGATCCTTTCCTACCCTTCTTTCACCACCTTCAGCTCCTCTTCACAGTCCTCTAGGAACCCTTTCATCTCCTTAATAAACCTGCCTCTCTCACCGTTATTACAACATGTTATAATCCTGCGAATTTTGGGGACATGAACATGCAGAGTTGAACACACAGATGAAACTATGATGCTCTATGTTTGTTGCTTTTCTTACTTCACATGACTCATCACCCAGCTCCGCTATCACTGGCAAGCCAAGGGTTAGATATTCTTTGTCTACCTCTTGATGTGCCAGGTTATGCTTCTGATATGTAGCTTCCCTTCTTCCTTCAGACTGAACCACTTGTTCCACAATGAAGTGAAGCAAACTGGTCTTTCCATCTGTACTTTTCATGTCAGAAAGCTTGCTAAGAGAGCTTGGTTTGAAACCTTGTGCATTGCCTCTTGAAGTTCCAACGTTCATTCAGTTCCAGGCTTTGAAAATAGCCTCTAGGAGTTTTCTAAAGAGACCACTAGTCCTTAGCTCTTTACATCCCATTTCAAGTGTTCCCAGTCGTTCTTTAAGCTGAAGTACTGTAGAATCATATCTTGATCTGAAAAGCATTGCTTTCAAAAGAGTGAATGCTGTTGGTATTGCTTTGAGGATGTAGTAAAGGAAAGACTCCACGTCGGCTAGTTTATCTGGGTTGCCATTGAAATTCTTGATTTTGGCTGCTGCTTCTTGAGTTGGAGCTATTTTGGTGAGTCTTTCAAGCGTGTCAGAACTGAGTCCTTGGTCATCAAGGAGTGCTTCCAGGATTTCATCACAAGAAATTGCTTGAGACTTCAGAACGATTGTGGTGTTCTGGGACTTTCAAGGCTCCAGAATGAATATTTGAGGTGGTGAAGTGGAGCTGGAATTTGCAGAAAGACTCTGGTATCTTTCATGCTTTTTATTGTTGCTTGAATATCCAAATAATTTCTCGATGAGCTGATCATCAAACCTGTAAAAGAAAAACCCCTCATAAGTGGCGATTCCTTAATTTGTTAAATAAGATGGGAAGAAGGAAGAGTTACAAGAAAGAGTTGTCATTGATCTGATCCCACACTGTTGAATGATTAACATTGGCTGCGACCTTATCCCAGTGAAGAGGCTTCAGCTTTTTCGTGTCACCATCTTTCTCCCTCGAACTCTTCTCTGCTGTACCCTCTTTGCTGTTCTTCATGTTTGCTTTCCCTTTTGGTGGAGGCGGGGGTCTCAATGATGAAGTGAAGCCACTAGCCTTTGGAGGTGGAGGTGGCGGTGATGGAGGCCTACACGGCACTTTTGCAACTCCCTTTCTCGGGGGAGGAGGTGGTGGTGGTGGTGGAGGTGGAGGAGGAGGAGTGTTTCTGTCAAGAATCTTAAGTTGAGGGGATTGTGAAACTCCTTGTGTTGGACATGATGATGCAGAAATTGAAGGAAGAGCAGGTACTGACGATACTGGCTTGGCATTTATTTTCTTCCATTCTTCAGAATTTTCATAACTTCGATTGAACCAACATTTTGGGAATCTAGTTCTCACAGGTCTACCATCTGCTTCCAACATGTAAAGAATGTGAGTCCCATTTTCTTCAACGACCAATCCTTTCACTTCGCCACTAACTTTCTTAATGTCCCCATGGGTCACCACTTTATCTCGAAGAATAGCAGCAGCAGCAGCAACCTTGTGCCTTTGGTGATACAGAGATAGAATAAACTTATAGAACAAGTAAAAGAAAATCCTAGAAAATAACAACATAGCAGCAGCAGTAGCTGCCACAGCCTTGCAATTAAATGACTAGGAGTAGACATTGATAGACATTGAAGTGGAAGATTGAACTTCAGAGATGACTCTAATGGGCCTTCAGGGGATCACAGGCAAAAACATAGTGCCTGTAAGCTGCGAATAATTTAGAAATTTCATGACAAAGTTTGAATATGTCAGCCAATGGTTGATGATATTTTCAATGTGACAGTTGTCATTTGTAGGAGTTTTATTGCTCTATTAAAGTGTTAAGTATAGCACCTTAAATTACAATTCCAAATTGAAGCCTAATGAATAGACAGATATATAATAAAGTTCGGCCCATGTTGAATGGTGTGGGGTAACTCAATTGCAGGCTTTGTTTGCAGTGGGCATAATGGGCAAGCCGTCCTGTCTCAATATCTCTACAGGCATTCTTAATTCTGGATGGAATTTATGTTTTTTTCCTAGTTCAATGCTTTAATGTTATCTATCTGACATCGTTTTTGTTTCGTTCTATGCTATTGACAAAAAATTTGATGTCGTCTCTGCAAAAACTGAAGCAGCAATCCAAAATTCCAGTGTGCTGGTGCACTTGAAGAGCCAAAGGGGCTTTTTGGAATGAAAATATATATATATATAATATATATATATATATATATATCAAGTTTGAGTTTTCATTAAAAGAAGCGAACATGATTGGGTTTGTGGAGTGATGGGTGATTGTTGCCTTGTTGGGATGCATCATGCGTGACTTAGTTTATGTAGGGTATCTAGTGTCCTATCCTACTCTCTGATGGTTGTTTGAATATAATAATGTCAATCAACAACTTGTCCTGCAAGAAACACAATGGTTGGATTAATAGTAAAGAGTAATTGAAAATTAAAGATGACGCTATTTGGAGTCTCGTAGTGGTTGCTAAGTGGAGAGGACTTAATAGCAAATGAAAGCCACGGCCAGGCCATGTTTGTTTCAAGAGAAACAGAGGAGGATTAAAGAAAGGGAATGAAAATCTTATTTGAGAGGTTATATTGTCATTCTCTGACAAAATGCATTTTTTCTTGTTGCTAGAATGAGACTCTCCTCTTCTGATGGGATTCAACATATTTCTTAAAATGAGGGGGGATCTTACTACAATTTATTCATGGAAGTATATAATATAATAATAAGGATTTCTTAAATAAAAAATTAAATATTTTAATATTAATAATATGCTTTCACCTACCAAACATGGCATTGGCCTTTATGGCCTTTGTAAGCAAAGGGGGAGGTTTCTGGTCTTGGGAAAAATGGGAAGTTTTTGCTCTTGGGAAAAATAAACATGAAGAAGTGGAGACATCGTTAATTGGCCTTTGTCTTTTCTCTCTGAATAATTGAACTTTGTTTTTTCAAGGTCTTCAAAATACGAGCACCCATTCCAGTAGTAATCTAATCAAGTGATGTGTTCCGCCTCGGAAGCTTTCATGCGCATACTGCCCCCTCAACTCCCAACAGTTTAGTGCAATTATATTACATGATAAGAACCTGGTGGCATCATCGTCAACAATATCTTTCATCTTAGAATTTGAGCAAACATCAGATTTTGATATGCAGACGTGCCAGTGGGGATTAAAGACTTGTACACCAAGGTTCCTCACAGAAGCATGGCATCCTAAACCCCAGGTCCATAGAAGAGAAATCGAGCCATACGGCTGCAAGTGGTAGACAAGGAGACCATTCCTTTAAACATCACAAGCACAAAATTTACATTAAAAAATTTTCCATTACTTGCAGCACACACCCTTACAGTACAGGGCTTTCCTCAAAATTTGCCAATTTCATATGTACAGAGGCGGAATCAGCAAAAAAAAAAAAAAAAATACATGTATTGGACCAAAAAAAGTTATCATAGCATGGTTCCTCTCCAAATCTAATTCTAGTGTTTATGTTAGCAAAATTATGGACTAATGTGAAGAGCTAGATCCTTCAGGGGATTCAGGGTTCTCTTCTGAAGGGAATTATTCAACCTCTGCTAGCAATCTAGACTTCTTTGAGGACAATGCAGATGGTGAAGAGGATGATGGATCACAAGGACAACAGACCGATGAGAATGGAGTTGGAGGAAGTGCACTATAATTATCTGATCTCTTTCTTTTGCGACATTCTTTCTCTCTACTTTCCTTCCCTTCACCCTTCATTATGAATTCTTTCAATCGTTTCACGTCTGCCAACTTCACTGGCTTCAACAGAAACTCCTCTGCTCCTTCCTCTAAGCACCTGTCCATTGCCAATTTGCCACAAATAAGCCATTAATTTCCACAGCAGTGGTTTCATAATGATTCATGTTCACTCATCACAACCAAAATTGCAATTTTTTTCTTTTTTGAGGTAAGGAACTTATTATTTAGGAACTTTCTCTGAAACTGAATATGAAATTTCATAGCAAACAGTGTCGAGTGCCAGCCCAGATCTAAGCATGAATCTAAAACCATTCAGATAATTTAATGTTCTTGCCTCCATACTATTAGTTCAGCACCCTGGAATCTGGATCCACGTAGGAAATTATTTTCAAATTCAGTGATAGATTTTTTACGTATTCACAGGGCGGAGGATTTCAAGAGTACCAGCTTAGAATTTGAAGATGAGTAAATCATACGTTATTACATAAATAAATTAGAGTGCATAACTGAGAAACTGTGTATCAAGTTAACACTTGACAGTCGAAGATTTTGGTGCAAACTGCAGAGTTCTGGCTTCTTGCGGAAACATGATTCAAATTTCTAACAATATCGGAACGATTGTGAAACTAAGTTCAAAAGTTGCCAGATATCGGAACACTAATGGATAGCAATATCACACGCAAGTCACAACCAGCGAAGTTATTCAATGAAGTGCATACCTATCAATTCGAGTCAAGATATTCTCAGACGACATGATCACTACTGGTATCTCTCTAAACATAGATGATTCCTGATGGAAATAACAGAGACGGAAATGGAAAACCATATCAGTAACAGAAAAAGAAAAACCACACAAAAAGGAAAAAAGAAAAGTAAAAAGCAAGGAAAAGCAACAAGCCACCTTAATCTTCTTGAGCAGCTCATAACCTGTCATCCCGGGCATGGAATAGTCCGTCATTATCAGATTAACCTTGACACTCTGTTGGCAAAAACCATCCAGTAACACCGTAAGAATCCATTCAGACAGTAACTAGAAATGAAACAACGAATCAAGATTCAAGACCCAGACCAAGTTTCTCACCTCAAATCCAATGGAGCTCTTCTGTCCATCCAATCCTAAATATTCAAGAGCTCTTGTCCCACTCTCCACAACCGTCACTGCAAAATTTTGCAAGTCCAAATCCAATCGGCTTCAGAACTCAATTAACCAACCTGTACAAAAAAAAAAAAGTAACAGTGAAAAGAGCTCGCAATCTCACCTTTAAAAGAAGAAATTTTCAGCAAGCGCTCAATGACTTTGCGATCGACATAACTATCATCGACGGCGAGAACATGCAGGTCACCGGAGCTGCAAGGCAAGTCTTCCAGCCGGAGAACATCATTGCCCATGGCGTCGGATATGGAAGCAAGAAAAGCCTTCGACGAAACGGAAAAGAAGGAAATGCAAAAGAAAATGTGAAGGAGAAAAGCTATAAATAGGAAAAGTGGGATTGACGAAGGAGAGAAGAAGGAGAGGGGGGAACAGAAAGGGTCAATAAAGGAGGGAGAGATTCGAAGAGGGTACGGATATGAGAGATCTTGGGAAATCTAGCAGAGAGGATTTTGGGTGGCCACTTGTGTCCTCGTCTGGCTTCCGTCCAAATCTTGCTTTTTTTCCTTTCTTTATGAAATTGAAAACAATAATCGCTATAGTAAATGCTTGTGTTTGGACCCACCGTCACCACTGTTTTGACTTTCTTCAATTGTTTTTTTTGAACTTCATTATTTTATTCCTCGTTTGTTTTAGGGTCTAATTTCCTTCGTGATCTTTTTCAGCTTAAAAAATTGTGCAACCTTTTCAATCTAAAGTTCTCGGAAGTGCAACTTTACCTCTAAGATTTTAACCATACTTGCCGTTGGCTACTTTATCTTTGTGGTCAAAAAAATAGATTCGATTAGCCATCTCCAGTGGTGTAAGCAAAGATTTGCTTGTTGTGAGAAAATATTTTTTTTTGTTGACTTGTCTGTTCCAGCTTATGTTGACAGTGATGTCAAGATTTTTGGATGGTAACAACCAGAAAAAAGTCACGCCTTAGAAAACGAACAAACGGAGAGAATTGAAATGTGATTAAGTTTAAAATTGAGATGATATATTATTGTACAGTTCAGCGCCTCTTCGAATTTTAAGGGATGACTTGTTAATAAGATATTGACGAGAGGGTGTGAGGGCGTTTTGGTGAGGGTGCATTTGGGAGGATCTCTTGGAACTAACAAAAATATGTTCAGTGAAGAGATTGATTAACTTGATAAAACTACTCACATTCATCCAGAAGAAAACAAATATATTATTGTTTATATTAATCAACCGTTTGAGGTCTCTGCTGACTTTAAATTTTCAAACGGGCCACTAAATATTTATATTACGTTAAATGATATCTTGAGGATCAGCTCCGGCCTCCTGAGTAAACCTCGGGACAATGCAGCTTTCTAATTATCTTAAAGAACGATATTTAAAAAAAATGAAGAAGCAGTTGATTGATTGTTGGGCTGTGAAGGAACAATGATGCAGTAAATGATAGGGAAGACTGAGAAGAGAGAGGGAGAGTGCAGGGCGGCGAACGGAGGCGAAAGAGGAAAGCGACGGTGGGACGGCGGCGACAGAAAGGGAAGGTTAGCGTGAAAACTGAAAAGATAGAGAGGGGCAGGTGGTGGGTCCCAGACATCCGGATGGGGTGATATGGAGGCTCCATCGTATCAAAAAAAGCCTTGAAGGAGATTGAGGATCCTAAGCGTAAAGTGGAGCGCGTGAAACTGAGGACCGAATCCAAATCCATGATCCCACAATACAGAAATAGTGATACCTGTCTGATACGAGATCGAGACTGCATTGATAAAAGAGGAAACTAAACTACGGCCCGCGACTTCGAAACCTCCACCAAGTTCCTGCATTGGTCTGATCAATCACCCATCACCTGGATCCTGGTCCAGATCTCCCACTCGCGTTGCATCTGGATTCCATTTAGCCCAATCTTCTCTCCATCTTCTTTCCATTTAGCCTAGTCTTGTGCCGACTCGCATGAGTCATGAGGCTATTCAGACATGCTTGGATTGCTATCCACAAAATCATCTTGGCATGTCATTTTTTTTTTAATATAAGACTACAATAAAATTATGCAAAAAAATTAAGATGTAGTCATATCAGAAGCCATGAGATTTATATAACTGGGAGACGGATTGATAAAAATAAATGTATAAAAATCTTTATAAAGATTCTTATAAGTTAAAAAGTCAATGCAATTGTTTGCTTTCATATAAATGTAATCAAAAATAATAATTTAATTTTTTATAGGGAGATTTTTAATATTTTTGACAACTTCAGAGAGGAGGTAAGAGTCATAACAACCATTGTTCATCGTTCTTCAATTGGCCGCATTCATGAGCGCTCTCGGCGCCTCGGCACGTCCATCATTGTCTTTCTCCCTGAATCTATGGAGATCGTTGAACTCCGCTACTCGGCAATTCTGTCGTCCCCCCCCCCCCCCCAAACAAAGGTCGAGCTCGGTGTTCCAGACCAGCAGACCCTGTTCCCCTATTCCATCCGTGCTTAATTATCTGCTCCAGAAACTCTGCATACTTGCCCTGACTTGCTTTCACGTACACAAATGTTTGCATGTATGGAGTCTATGCTTCCATTTTTGTAGTTGATTCTGATTGTTTATGATTTAGTGATTTTAATTTTTATTTGTTTAATTTTAAATTTTTAGTGATTGTTAAATTGTGGATTATTGGATTTTTATTGCCGCCTTATAATAGTATTTCATGACAATTGTTTATAAAAAGAAAGCACTTCACAAAAAGTCTTCGTCAACAGCTACTTTCAGAAGACTTGAGTTTACTTGGCAGACCTTCTCCTTAAAAATGAATCAAGCGAGAGAGTGAAAACTAGTGAAGAGAAGCTATTGCAGCTGTAAGGTGTGAGAGAAAGAACAGATTGGACACATGGCCGGTGGAAGTGGAAGTGGAAGTGCAAGTTGCGGAGAGAGCATAGTGCAGAAAGTAGATCTGATTAACATAGCACTTGCTCTGTCCCTAAAGGCTTATGAATCACCAGACAAGCCTTACCTTCTTGAAGAGATTCGAAGCAACAACCCTCCTAAAGTCTTCATTAGCTTCCCACCATGTGGATCTGTAAAGGACTGGTATTCTCAGAAGCCCTTCGGAGAATCCCAAATAAACCGCGATCTATTTCCCTCTCTGAGAAGTATTGGCAATAATGAAGCTGCTTTAGTGAACAAATCATTTCTGCAAAGATTTGAAGCCATTTTGGAATCTTTTCGTGGTGAGGTATGTAAATAACAAACTCAGACTCTAATGCCACGCTAAGACTATTTCAACTCTAAATCACTGGAAGATAGATTTGGGTCTGCAGGTAATGGAAGCGATGGCAAAAAAGCAGGCTGTAGTGTTTACAGGGCACTCCTCTGGTGCTGCAATGGCCGTGCTTGCAACCCTCTGGGCCTTGGACACAAATCTAACTCCCCACAATAACCAGCCCTGTCTTTCGTGTTTCACGTTTGGGTCTCCCTTAATTGGTAATCACATTCTGTCTCATGCTACAAGACGAGAAAACTGGTCTAGCTACTTCTTTCATTTTGTCATGAAATATGACATAATGCCAAGACTTCTGCTTGCTCCACTCTCTTCATTTGATGACCGAAGATTCGACCCTGTTCTTCAATTTTTCAACCCCAAATCTGAATATTTCATGAACGACGAATCACTTGACCAATGTGTGACTTCAGACTTGTACTCTAAGGTCATGACAAATGTAGCGAATGCTACAAGCCATGCCGCATGTAAGCTTATGGGTAGCACAAATGTATCAGAGACGCTGGCAAGTCTTGTTACTTTAAGCCCTTATAGACCCTTCGGAACATACATTTTCTGCTCTGGAAGTGGAAAGCTGACTGTCATGACAAACCCAGATGCTGTTCTGCAGCTCCTATTTTTCTCTGCTCAATTAAACAACGAAGAAGAAGCTGCTCAAGTTGCCACTAGATGCCTGAAAGAACATTTCGTCTATGCTGATGAACTCAGCCGAAGCTTGGCAATGCAAAACGTGGATGTCTCACATGGCAATGCCTTGAATGACCTTGGACTTGTAAGTAGCATCTCTTGTGGGTATAGTTCTATGTTTCTACTTGACTAAACCGACAATTCTCTACCTGAATTATGTTAGACTTCATTTAGTGCTGTTAAATAACAAACATGTGTCTGTGTTGCAAGTAATCCTTCCAACTCCCCTAAAATAATAAAATTAATAGACTCTTGCAGTAAGTTTTTTATTCTGAGAAAATTAATCTGTTCAAAAACTGAAATTGAATGGGCTTGACAATAAGGGGGGATTGTAATTGAGTTTTTATCTGGTGTTTGAAATATCAGAGCAAAAGAGCCAGGCTATGTCTTCAGGCTGCTGAAGAGTTTGAGAAACAAAAAATAAGAAACGAGGAGCAAATCGACTTGGAGAAAGCTAAAACAAACATAAAGATACTACAAGAATACAAACAAAGAAACAACGGACGTGGAGTGAGCTATTACGAAGCCTTCAAGCTTCAAACTGACCCAAGAGACTTCGAATCAAATGTTAGCAGGCTGAAGCTGGCAAGTGTATGGGATGACATAATTGAAAAACTAAGAAACTATGAACTACCAGATGAATTTGAAAGCAAGAAAGAATGGGTGGAGCGTGGAACCGAGTTTCGACGCCTGATGGAGCCGCTGGACATTGCCAACTATTACCGCCATCCAAGGAAGGGCGATTCGGGAACTTACCTGGAAGGAAAAGGAAGGTCAAGCCGATACAAATACACTCAAAGATGGCTGGAACATGCAGAAAGAAGGCCAACAGGAGCTTACTCAGAATCGTGCTTAATGGCTGAGGTGCAAGAGCTTTGGGCCAAAACTGAAGAAGGAAAACCATTTGAACAAGTGAGGGAACGTGTCCTTAAACTTGAAGATGATATCAAACGATGGAGTGAGGAAAGAGTCCTCTCCGAGGATGTTTTGCTCAAGGGTTCGACCCTTATGAAGCTGTGGAACAGTCTTCCAAACCAGCACAAGCAAGGATCCTGCATAAAGAGTCTTGTATGTATCCAAGGGTAATTTAATCTGTCATCGTATTATGTCTATCGTGTTTGTGTCTGTAACTCCATGTAACTTATGTTTGGCTACTGCTATTGGTGATTAAAGCCACCTGTGTTTGCCCTGGTTGCGGCTTGCGTTTGTTTCGAAGAGATCATGCCTTGTTGCCAATAAGCCAGAAAACCCTTGGTGACTGCTTAAATCAGTTTTAATAATCCTCTTATTCTTACAGTTTCATGATATATTTAGATCAGCAAGGCGTTTCGCAATGGACAACTCATCCAACCTATTTGAGTATAAACCGAATCTTGATTTTTTTTTCCTTATGATATAAGATATACATTATTTTTGTCTCATAAGATATGGATTTGTTTTTTTTTTTTTTTTCTCAACAGGGAGCTTCCAATTTCCATTGTGCATACAAAATTTTCAATTGATAGGCGTAATTTCCCCTTTCTTCTGTTGATTCTGACTCCAAGCCTACATACACCCGCAAGTGCTTTTTCTTGTCTATAGAAGTATAAATAAAGAAAAAAAAAATTAACAAACTTTTTTTTTAACAAATATGCGCAGCTACAAAAAAACGTCACATCTCTTACTCTCAATATCTGTGCGTAACGCTACCGCATTCGAAATCCTTTGCTCAAGTTCCTCAAACTTGACACGTATACTGAACACTTCAGAAGATAAACAGAACGCTCGCCCATACACAATTATAAAATAATTGACTTAGGTAATTTTTTAGTTATTTTTTAATCAACAGTTAACCCTTTTTTTTTCTCATAACACGTAACCTAAATAATTCTGACAGCATTTATAACGAACCTACGAAATATAACTCCAACACTCTACTTGGACGCATACGCATTGCTCAAGTTTCTTATTTTGTTTTATCTTTTTGGTCAATCATTACCTAGGATCATGTTACATGGATTCAAAAGGAGAAATAAATATCTACAAAATTGAGTTTAACAGAAAAAACTGATTTCTTATGGTATGAGCTCAAATTTCTGTTTAAAAAATGATTATATTTAACATCTGATTATATTTCAAATAAAAAATAGGTGCGCAAAATAAAATAAAATAACAAACTCGCCGCAAAAGGCTGACCAGTTGTTGTGATTTACAAACTGCAGTAACTGTTTGCCCAAACAACAAAAATGGCAGAAGTACTCATCATACATTTCATCGCTTACCAGATACATTTCGTCAACCTAATGCCTCCTGCTTAAAATGTCAAGATTCATCCATATCTAACATTAAATAGAAAGAAGATCCACATTCATCATAAATGATTAAACCAAAAAAATTACAAAATAGATAGTTGGACGTTCCCTGCAAACACAAACACTTACAACTATATAAGAAAGTATTTCGATTTCGTTGCATAGGGGCTGACCAGCCAAAAACTAAGTGAAACGCCGTAGAGAGTGAGCTGTCATGGACATTAATTATTAAGAGGTGGACTATGTCATGAGTCCTACATCGGAACGCCACATTAATAGAGTGTGATTTATAAGTTAACTGGATACCTTCTCCCTACGAGACACCTTTCAAGGTCAAGTTTTACCCAGAAGACTTGTCGTGACATTGGTACTCTTGTTAAAAGTTGCCTTTCATAGAAAGGGCTACCCACGAAAACACTAACCGGCCGAAAGCCAAATGAAGTGTTGTGGAGTGTGAGTCGTTGTGAATGCTGACTCTTGAGGGATGGCTATGTGATGAGTCCCACGTCGAAAGGCCATATTGGTAGAGTATAGTTTATAAGTCAATTAAGCACCCTCCTTCTATGAGATGCCTTTCAGGGATGAGTTCTACCTGCCCTAAAAAGTTGACACGCATATTCCATTAAGAACCCTATAAGAACCCTAGATTTTGCTACACGCCCAAACCGCTGCAAACTGGGGAGAGGTTCATATTCCTCGCCTCCTCTTCCCCATTTCCAAAACCTAGAAAGTGAAGAAGCTCCTCCTGTAAACTTTGAGCAAGCTAACTACACATTAAAATACCAAATACTCCCCAGAACATAAAAGGTCGCAGTACCATTAACTTCATTTCGTCAACATCACATGCAGGTTAGGGAATTAAAAGTCTCATGCACCCTTCATAACACATTGCTGACCCAGAGATCACTAAGGCTCGAAGATACGAACAAAGGAGTCAGCGAAGACGCAAAAATACCAATGCTCTTGGGGTCTAATTTACTCCAATTACTTTTCCTAATAGTTAGCTTTCCTGCTCATGTCACCACTTCGGGCAAGGCCGTATGTCTTTCAACTAACAGAATGACCTCAGTTCGGCAACGGCTATTATCAATCGCAATGACTCAGAAACCAATAGTAAAGTAGACTTATCCAGATTTTTCTGTCCTAGGTATCCAATACTTCTTTCTAAAACGTAATAATTAATGACAGAGTTCATTTAAATGACACACCTACTATGAGTGAGGTGACTTCTTGCCTAGCATCTAGAAATATAGGTAAACAGACCCAACAGTTATGCATCTCAAACGACAGTTCTGTCTGTTCAGTTTCCAACTGGGTTTAAAAAACCTCCAACCATCGAGGTGTAGTCCATAATCGAAGAGACAGAATGCTCATTTTTTGCTTTTGGTGAAAAGCAAAGGTTTTTTTCTACTCACAACACCAAATCCTGTCATAATCGAGAGGTGAGCACAATATTTAGTATAGATGACAACCATATAATACCTTTCAAGTCATCAGTTCCATTGTCCTTAATACAGGAAACCCCAAATTAGTAATTGCAGGAAAGACTTCCAAATGAAGTCTGACAAAGCTACACACCAAGTCGTTATTATGATCATGGAAGTTGGTCGCATATAGAATCATATATGTATATTATCAAAATTAGATTAGAGTAAATTTTGTCATTCAAGTTTCTAAGGGTGATTCCACCATCTTTTGATGCAAATATAAGAAATGTCGTATATGGGCCATTTCACATTAATGTTTATATAATTTGATTCCTATTTCCTAGTCAAATTCCTCAATTCCCCAAGATTAAGCATAAAAAATTTCCGAACTGTTATGTGCAGGCCTCTGGGGGAGAAAGATATTGAAACGAAAAGAAATAGCGAAGCGAGAAACCAACTACATTTGAGTAGATTGCATCATGTTAAATAAAAGGAAGCAAATAAAGCAAAAACATAGACATATTATCATACCTCGTAAAAGTAGGATAATCTTAGCGACCAGCCCTCAAATTTAATTTTTCCCCCTTCGTTTTTCTTATATATCTACCACAAGTTTCTCGGCTCCTAGATAATCACGAGGAACAATGTTCAAAAGGGATCCCTATTTCAAACATTACAGACAACTTATTTATAACTAAAAACCAATGAAAAATGCAAATCTCCAGAACCTGGAAGAATGAAGACCATAATTCTAAATTAATAATTGTTAGCATTTGCAGGTATAGAAGAAAATGATCAACCTACAATGCAGTATAAATATACAGAAAATCATTACTCCGTTTTTCAAGCATAAATCAAAATTTTATTTTCTTGGTTATACAGAAGGTACAACGTCTTGGTAGTAGACAAAGGATGAAGAGGCGGTGAAGGGATCAAGTCTAAATAAATCAGCAATATGAGCGTGTTTGATTAAACATGAAGATGTTAGATGTGGAAGTATAAAATGATTCAAGTGCAAGACGCTATATGTGAAGGGGGAGGGGGGAGCCCAAGGAAATAAGCCGCAACATGATATGCAGTCGTTTTTAATGTATAGAATTTTTATATCAACTTATCTATTCACATACGAATCTGAGTATTCTACATCAACACATGCAAAATCAAACTCCAAATGAGAAAAAGCTTGATTCCATGGTGATCAAAATTCATAAAACTACGCCAACTACGCCTAAAAAAATATAGGAATACAGACCATGCAAGGATGCAAAAAGTAGACCCAAAATACACAAATCAAGAAGACAGAGACATATACTCTTACGACCTTTCGATCATGCTACAAGAACGAGCCAACCGAAGAGTCAAGCTGCCTCCGTACACGCTTGCCTCTGTTTCAATAGGTTCGCACTCATAAGTTTTCCTGCACCCAGGACAGCGGCCATCTTCCTCAAGAATTCTCTTATGGCAAAAAAGGCAAAGCCGGAACCCACAAGGGCAAGGTAAAAAACTTGAGTCCGTCAAATCCAGATCCTCGCAACATATAGGACAAGAATGAGGCGCAGCAGTACGAGCCCACGCAATCCCTCCTCCACATCGCCTGTCGGGATTGGGTAAACTGAACTGCTTTGACAGATTGGGCAAACTCTGAGGGCGAAAAGCATCATCAGGCCTCCAAGCTCGGGTATTACCAGGCACCTGCGAAATTAACCTAGCACTCTCAGGTTGGAGATTCTGCACTCCTAAACTTGACCCATTTGCTATTTCAGCAGGAGAAACAATTTGCGCAGTAGTTTCTTGTTCCTGTGGCGACTCCGAACACGGGTTTTGATGCTTCTCATTGGCGGCTAAAGCATCTGCCACGGCCTCCCAATCATCAAAGCATCCATCATCACCCTCTTCTTCCTCTTCTGTAATGTTCCCAGAGCAGCATCCGGCACTGCTGCTGCTGCTGCCAGTGAAATGTGTTCCGGAATTATTACTACCCAACCCGCTGCTATTAACACTGGTGGGACTATTGGATGGCGATTCGATATCGCTGTCTTGATGGACAGATCCGTCATTATCTTCGCCTCTAGGCCTCATTTCCAATTCCTCCAGTGAACGTTTGCTATCCTCTCCAGCAGGCATTGGTGGCGCGTGATTATTGTCCCCCACGTCCTTGCGTCCTTTACTCTTGACCACACCTGAAAACCATCAATCGATACGCGAGAGAGCATGATTAACCCAAGAAAAACAAAAACATATCGAAAAAAACGTAAGTAGACGATACATACCTTGAGAGAGCCATTGCTCTCGCCGAGCATCTATCTTGCACTGCTTCAATTTAGCCGACCTGTTGGTCTGAATTTTTTTTTTTTTAAAGAAATTAGAATGGGGACGAAACGAAATGCCCGAAATAAGATGTCATAATAACGTCAAATAATAAGGAACCAATATCTTACCCTCTTCTTCTTGCCCAAATTTTTTGTGTTCGCGGCTGAAGGAATCGGAGCGGTGGGGATTGAATCAGAAACCATGGCTGAACTGATGGATTCAAATTCAAGAAATAAAGATTCGCAAAAACCCTAATTTGTGCGAGTGAATAGAGAAAATCTAGAAAGAGAAATCTCGGAGAGGGGATGAGAATGGATAACTCAACGGAAACTCCTCTGCACCTATCACCCTTTTTCAGAATTTGAGAGCTGAGGGCGGAGGTTGATGCTATATATACAAACATGTAATCCCCAAAATGCCCTCACACTTAATTCGATTTTCAAGGGTGGTTTCATTGTGAATATATGTGAGGTTTTTATCATTTTATGAAAATTGCGGAAGAAACGTGGAGCACTCAGCAAAGGGCGCATTCGTAAAATCGGAAAAACGATAGAAAGGAACAAGTGTCGTCATGCTGAAGAGTTAGTATTGTTAAGTTAACCTGATCCGAATATATTAAGTTACCAATTAAGATCATTAAATTATTTAATATTTGATCTTCATTTTCTAAAATAAAAAATTCATTGTTAATAAATTGTAAACACATGACTCATATAAAACTAGACAATATATACACACATATAAGTTATGTAACAAGTCAACTTTTTGGTTTTTTGAGCGTAACGTTGAACGCAACGAAAGGGATATTTTTTATAATCAGCGGGTTTGATTCTTTTTCCAATCAAACATTTTGCCCTGGATATTAATCAATTGTTGTTATATCGGGAACTAAATGTATTTTTCACGCACTACAAATCTTGAAAAATAAATCATATAGGTTATACTTTATTAATAGGGTAGCTTAAATGTTTATTTTTGTGATTATTAAACAGGCTTGATAGCTTGGACTTTAGATATATGATTGCAGAGAGTATAAAAATGAATCATACTACTCATAATTTATCATCTGGTTATTTTTATGTCAGCACCACAATGTCTTATTTTTATGTACATGTGTATACAAAATGTGACATTGGATTAATAAAAAATACATACATGACGTCATTAAGCCATTACTCTCTCTTAAAAAGCAAACCAATGTTACATGTTTGATTCTTTTTACAATCAAACATTTTTATATGGATATTGATCAAATGTTGTTATAAATATGTTTTTCACGCACTGCAGATCTTGTAAACCAAATTACATAGTTTATACTTTATTAATAGGGTAGCTTAAATGTTTAGTTGTGTGATTATTAAACAACCTTGATGACCTGGACTTTAGATATACGAGTGCAGAGAATATAAAAATGAATCATACTGCTCGTAATCTATCATCTCATTATTTTCATGTCAGCACTATGGTGTTTTATTTGTATGTATGTATGTATACAAAATGTCACCTTGGATTAGTGGAAAAGTCGCACATGATGTCACAGAATTATTACTCACTTTTCAAAAAATTAACTTAATAGGATGTAGCATACCTGTTTATATGACCATAACCCTTTTTAAATCTTTTTAATGCGAGACTGAGATGTAACAACTCTCTTATCCCGTCCATGATATTCTCATTGCAGGCGGTCCATTGACTGGACAAACTCAAATCCTACTCTGATATTACTTTATCACAAGGTTATCACTCTCTTAAAAAAAAAAAAAAAAACTATCTCATAGAGTGTGCAATACTTATTTATGTGCCTACAGCTCTCTCCAAAATCTTCAAATGTGGGACATAATACTAAACTTTCTTTTTTCCAACTCCAAAGCCACAAATGTCCCAATTGACATTGAGGTATTTTTTCATTAGGTTATTTAATACACACACATATATAATATTTACAGTGAAATAGGTAGGGTTATGAAAATGTATGAGGGGAAATGTCTTGGTAAAAATATGGTAAGGTAGGTGAAATAGTGGTCATAAATGAATTTAAACTAGCCTTTGACTAAATCAACTTCTATTAATTGTAATTTTTTTCGGGTTTCAAAAAGTTCTTGCGGCTTTCTTTTATGTGATGGACTGTAAATATATAATGGAAAAAATAGTTTTTTCATTGAAAAAGCTGAGCTTCAGAGAGCTTCTTTTTTTTTTTAATGAAAGATTTTTGAAAATGACTTGTTGTCCACTAATAAGAACCCTTTTAAAGACAAAAGAAAATAAATTCTATATACAAGCACAATAATAAATAAAACATTAGTACTATTTGTTTTTTGGGCTAGTGTGATGTGGAGCGTTAGCCCAGGGCACTGGGGATCGGATGGGAAAGAAATCGAGAAGTCTCTGGGCTCTTCTTGCCAAGGGTAACAGTGTCATTTGAAGAGAAGAATCTCTTCACTTTTTTCCTCCATTTCCTTTCATTTCTTTCTTTTCTATCATTCATTAATTTTATCATTTAAAAAAAATTAATAAAATAATTTAAATAATGAAGATAGATGAAATGTAAAAAAATAAAAAAAAATAGAAAGACTCCTCTCCGATGCCATTTGCACTTTAAAAAAAAGAAGTCCAGCGTTTTGTTAATAACGCTATATTCTTTACAATCTAATCTTCGTGAGATCTGATGCTTCAAATATATGTGCTCATAACTGTTTTCGCCAAAAAAATTAAACTGATTTAGTGTGTGTGCAGAGAGAGACTGCGCCTTGCCGCATAGAATATAACTGAAACCCCGGAATTGTAATACCAAAATTCAACCATTAGAAGCTCCTACTATCTAGTCTTCTTAACTAACATGTTTTTCATGAGTTCAGTTTTATTGCTCATTAAGCTATGCTCATCACTCGATGATTATCTAGATCATTCAAATTTTTAATTTGAACTGTCTAGATTTTAAAAAATTTATTTTTTAATTTAATTTTATATTTATTATAAAAAATTACTCCCTCCATTTAAGAATATAAAACAGTTTTAACCGAATCTTACCTTAATAGAGTAGTTACTTACTTTTAAATTAACTTTATCTTTTTATATTTACCCCTATTAAACACCTTACAATAAATATAAAGTCATTATCTATAGGGTTACTTTTGAAAAAAAAAAAATAATTATATCTTAAAAGATTAAAAATTTATTACATTTTAGAACATCTAACTTTTCAAAAAATTTTTACATTTTTTAATAGAGTGAGTATAAAATTCTAACAAATTTATTTATCATCAATATAGACAATACAAATTTAATCTGAGTGATCCAATTATAAATTGACTATCTAAATATACTCTGAACAGACTGAATTTAAAGTACATCTGTATAGTTAATTTTTAAAAAATTTTAAAAGAGTTGATATAAATTGAATCACCTAAATTAAATTTTATTGTATTGATGATAAAGTGAATTTATTAAAATTTTATATCTTATAATTTAATAAATATATATTAAAATATAAAAATGAAACTAATAAATGTGGACCGTCGAAGTTAAGATTGCACGGTAACCGAATGCGTTTTTCATCGAAGGGGCTTGCGTTAAAATTATCTGAGACATGGAAATAAGCGGGAGTAAAAAAGGGGATTTGCTTATATAGGTTTCATCCTTTTTTTCCCAATCTCTTTTGATCATTGAGTAATTAGAGTTTAGCCAAAGTTTTACAACTAACCATCCTTTTGCAAAATTATTATAGCTTGTTTGGTTTTGTTCACACTTTTTGTTCTTAACAATTATTTATAAATCAGTTTTAAAAAATTATTTTTCAAAATAAAACAAAATGAAGATTTATTGGCTGTGTTAATTTAAAAAAAAATAAAATTAAAAAATTGACTAATAATAACAGTCATTGGCAGTAATGGTGGTTACTTATATAGTATTTGACTAAAGTAACTGTAATTTATACTCTCTCCATTAAAAAATGTAAGGTATTTTTTGAGAAGTTGAATGTTAAAAAGTGTAAGATATTTTTAGTCTTTCAACATATAATCATTGACTTTTTAAAAGTACACATATTGATGGTAACTTTATATTTATTATAGAGTAGTTAATAAGAATAAATATAAAAAGATGAGATTGACTTGGAAGTAGGTAAGAACTTTATTGAGGGATAAAATTTAGTTAAAAATGTTTTTATTTTTTAACGAGGGGAGTAATAATTAAATGTAGTGTATTTAAAAAATAATAATAATAAAATGAAAACAACTGCAAGATGTTTTTATTTTTTTATTTTAAAAAATAAGAAATGAGAATGGTTTTGAAAATACTTAAATTCAAGATACTTATTTAAATAATTTTTTAAATTTTTTTCAAAAATAGAAAACAAATGCATGTCCTAATTTTCTTGAATCTGCGTTCCTCTTAAAATGCACGAATTCTTGGAATGTCCTTTTTTTTTTCTAATTAGCACAATCCAAAATGATATAAATAGAGATATAAAAAATACCTATACAAGTTCATGTATTGGATACAATACGGTATGACATGTTGAATGTAACACCCTCAAAAATACAAACCGATTTTTTCGCAAATTATTAAAACCATTATCATGGTAGAAAATTTTCTTACCATGATACATCCAAGACAATATACCACAGGTCTTAAAATATTTTAAAAAAAAGTAATTAGAATCATGAGGGACAGTCAGGATCCTCATGGCATGATATTTAAATTAGGTCATGAATCAAGAGAGACAAACATAATCCTCTTGGTCAAATAAATACTTTTAATAAAAAGGATCAGAGTTTGCATGCTTCACAAAGAAGATATGTCCTAACTTGGCACAAGATACATTGTATAATCCAAAATAAGAGGCAACGTAAAAGATGGTGTTTCATACACCATAGTTACACCTCTGGTGCTTTCTCGGCCGGACTCGCTCCTGTAAAAATATTAACCACGGGGAATGAGACTTAAAAGTCCCAGTAACCAAAAATTAATATGTAATGATACATGCGGATGTAACTAATCATGCGATTGCTAAGTGGGCACACAAAACATTTAACCGAACAATATTTTCAAACAAACCGAACAAGTATTTAATTTGCATGACTACACCTTATATCCTCCTTTCGCCGTGCTCGGACGCCAAATCACCCGGCCAAAGGTGAGTTGGACCAAGCGACACGCCACTCATTGGGTCCAATGAGGGCTTACCACGTGGTAATAATTAACCGAACAAAAATTCTCATTAACACCATACATTAAAATACCCTGACAAGTCATGCATCATTCAAATATCCAAACAGGAATATATCCGAACAATAATATCTCATCATGATAAATAAAAAATAAATTTTTAACCCACTTGGCAATAATTTCAAACAAGTATAT